CCGGACTCTGTGCAAGAATGGAAACCAGAGCCTGTTCTGAGCCCCTCGTGCACTAACTTACTTCTCCCAAACTTCTCCCATCTCAAAACAAGACTAGAGAGTATGACTGTAGAATCAGGACCACAGTGAAATTGGGGTAGCAAAGCCCTCAAGCAAAACCCCCCTCCCAGACTTTCCTACAACTAATTGTAGCTGTGTGTCCAGAGTTGAGAGTTGGGTAGGGTTCCCAAAAAAGTTCCTTAAAGGGGGCTGAGCAGAGGTGTGCTGCCTTTGCCTTGTCTCACTCCTTTCTCCTGTCTGGCATATGAGCATGAGCATTGGTGCTCTAGCAGTCACCTGGGACCATGAGTGACCTTGAGGATGGAAGACACAAGTGAACAGAAAGAAGCTGGATCCCTAACTGACCTCTGGATTTCACCTGAGAAAGAAACTATTTTGGTTAAGTCATTGCTACTTGTTTACTATATGTAACCACTACTGACCCACAGACCATTTGAAGGACCGTTTCTCATGCTAAAAGAAGTCGTCACAGGAAAAAGTAATGTACTGTCAGGGGAAACTAATCATCACACCTGCATTTGGGGGGACAAGTAAACAATCTTTAGGACATGATGTCTCAGTGTTGGAAGACTGCCTGGACTGAACTGAGTGTTGAGGTGATCCTGAGTTCCACCTCTAATATCATCTTGCTAGCAATGAAGGGAGGCGATGCCAGCACTTAGGCCACAGGGCAGCCATGAGGGAACAAGCCCACTTCTCTCATTCCCCTGCATCAATATGCTGCTTCTCCCATGTTTCTTTAGTTGCAAACATCCTCACTGATAATCCTTAGAGGCAAATTCTCCTCTTGAAGGCTACGGTTCCCAGTTTGGAAGTGATGCTACCAAAAGCTGCATAGGTTCCTCACACTCTGGGAACCCAGCAATATCAATAAGCTGGCCGAAATGGTTTGTCTCAGTGGATAGAGTGTCAGCCTGAGGACTGAAGGGTCCTGGGTTCGATTCCGGTCGAAGGCGTGTACCTTGGTTGCGGGCACATCCCCAGTAGGGGGTGTGCAGGAGGCAGCTGATCGATGGTTCTCTCTCATGAATGTTTCACACTCTCTATTCCTGTCCCTTCCTCTCTGTAAAAAATCAATAAAATATATTTTAAAAAATAAACATCAATAAGCTGAACATCACACATCTAACTAGCTGTTTCCAGGTGTCCGGCTGTCCACATCCCATTAGCCACACCAGGACCAAAGCCATCATCCAGAGATGACCCCCTTCCTTTTTGTTCCAAGAAACTCATCAATGAAGCCAACTTCCATTAGTGCTAGTAGTGGTTGTGTCTTTGTGTTTAGAATGTGTGTGGTTAAGTTGGTTAGAGCATCATCCTGATTCACCACAGTTGTGAGTTTAGTTCCCAGTTAGGGCACATACAAGAAGCAACCAATGAATGAAGCATAAATAAGTGGAACAAATCCATGTTTCTCTCTCAAAAATCAATAAAAATTATAGGATGTGCATGCCTGCTGTTCTTTGGGGGAATTTCTATTTCCCATAGTGGACACACAGGAGAAAGAGGTTCATTTCACAATAACACATTGTGTAATCAGTCATACACAGTCTTCCTGTTTTTATTAATAGAGAAAGGAGCATTTTGTAAAAAATAAATTTTAACTCCTCTACCTGATCAACTTTAATGTACTTAAAATACCCACTATATTACTTATTTATAAAATGGTTCCCCTAAGAGAAATTCATTATCTATAATAAAAGCACAATATGCTAATAAGACCAGACAGAGCTGGGGCTGCGAGAGAGGCCAGGATCCTGGGGTGCCTGTTGGTGGCTGGAGGGAAGCCTGGGTTCCAGATGCTAGAGGGAAGCTGGTGTCAGGAGCCAGGATAAAGAAGGCCTATCCTTGTATAAATTTTGTGCATCGGGCCTCTAGTATAAAATAAAGCTAGAGGTATTAATATCTCCCCATTAAAAAAATAAATAAGCCCTCAACTTAGAGCCAATGGAGAAAGTTCAAGTTCCTTGATGTATATGCATAAACTCATTTTATACAGTTGTTTCCCCCAAATGGCCACAATGGTCTCTCTATCCCACACACATCTATAATATGACCTTTGCACTTCTTCCATCGAGGCAGGTGGGATGATCCCAGTCCCTGATATCTGAGTGGGCTTGTGTCACAGAAGTGAACTTCTGCCTGGTTCCCTGAGGGAAGTCAACTGCCAAATAAGAAGCCTATCTACCCTGAAGCTGCTGTGCTAGAGAGGACGTGGAGTTCCTTCAGCCCTAACTCAGTCAAGTTCTCACACAACAGCCAGCATCAACTGCCAGTCACACAGTGAGCCACGTTGGCCAGCCAACCTAACTGGGCCTTCCTACGCCTGCAGCGCAGCAGACATCTGAGCGTGCCAAGAGACGACACAGAGCTGCCCAGCTGAGTCCTCCCCAAGTCCCAACTCACAAAGCTACTAACAAAACGAAGGGGCTGCTGTAAGCCAGCCTGGGGCAATTTGTTATGCAGCGACAGTAACCACAGCCTGGACTATCTTGGAGAAAGTCTCCATAATTAAAACTATTTTATCTGGGTATGTTTTTAAAATCTCTTAAGTTAAAATAACTAAAAGCAAACAGTGTACAAAACAAATACTTTAACTCTCAGAAAGAGTTCAGAAATTTACAGAAAGTTCAGAAAATTTGCAAATATGTTTATAGAAAGGATTAAGAACGTGGCAGCTGGAGAGTGAGCAAATCAAAATGTAAAAGAGAACTGAACGAAATTCCTAGGGAAGAGCAGTTTCTTTCCACCAAGTGGGAAATTCCACAGCTAGGAGCTAGGCAAATGGAATGTTCCATGACTAACACGACCTTGTCCCTTCTAATCTGCCTCCCCCCACCCCTTATTTATTCCCTGAACAAGTATACAGCAGAGTCTGGCTTGGAAGGTGTGGCAGGGCCGAGAAACAGACATCCATGGAGAGGCAGAAGGGACATACAAAGGAAGGAAAGCCCTTTGGTCAAACTTACCCATGTTTATCCTGACCCCTACATTTTCAAATCAAGAACCAGCCAGTTTCACAGCCTGGTAGAGAAAGCTCTGGCTGTTTCCACGTCTTCGGTGCTCACAGGAGCACTGAAGTTTTTCCATGGCACCAAGAGAACGATTTTGTGCAAAGCGCAGCCTCGACAAGGCGAGAGAATACTACCAGCTTTTATTTAAGTTCTTTTTTATTTTCCTCCACACTGGCAAAAGTTCCGAGGGAGCTTAAAGTTTTGTAAACATTTTAACTATTCTTCTTCCCCACTCCATCCCCCCCGCCCCACTTTTGAATTTACAAAGCAAAGGAGAGCAGGAGTCTCAATTTTAAATGGTTCCCCATCTCCTCATGCTATTTGATCCAAAAACTATATACAAGTTTATACCAGTCTCTGTATAGTTATTGTACATGTTTAGGAGGGAGGGCAAGAAGGGATAGGGAGAATGGTGATTCAAAATAATAAAATAGAAACCAAATATAATCATTCAAAACCAAACTGCTCTCAGAGCAACTCCAGCCTCTTCAGGCAATGACAGGAAGAAAAGGTGCTCTACCAGGAGTCACCAAACAGCACTTCTTGCACAGGGATGGATGGTCCAATGGCTCCTGACCAAAGTGTGACTGGCAATTCCAGATGGTGTCATGGGGTGGGGTGGATGTGGGAGGGTGGGGGAGGAGGGGCTGGTGGAGGCAGGAAGAGTATTTGTTTATAAATAGGGCTTGAATACATTTATATCTGAAGGGAAGGGTATACGGAGACCATGACCAGAAGCCAGCACCAGGCTTCTCTTCATCCTATCCCATCCCTCCGTCCCACTGCATTTTCTTGTATAGTGGTTTCCATGGATGAAGGTCTTACAGATGGTCAGGTTTTATGTTTCTTCTTTCCCCCTCCCCCCACCCCCCCCCCCAGAAAAGGCAATCAACTTGCCATTCCAGAATCTTTAAACAAAACCTTTTCAGGGCCACAGCAAGACAAACACGCAATGTCTGAGGAACCAGATGAATTTCCGAGCTTTTATCTGATGCAAAAGTTTATCCCTATTCAAAATGAAATTATACAAATTCATACATATGGTAAAGATCCTAGCTGCCTCTTAAACGAGACAATTTTCAGCAGAAAGGCCCAAAAACAAACTGGTCCTAGTCCTCTGAAGTAAAAATATTTATGGAAAAAAATCAGTTTTGTAAGAAAGAAAAATTAAGAGTAAGTCCCTCTCCCAGGCCATAGGGTCTCCTTTGTCCAATCAGGTTGGAGTATGCCAGGGGAGAAGTCAGCTTGCGTGGAAGTCACTATCTAATGAAGAAAACATGAATCCTTCCTCCGAAAGGATGCTCAGAAAGAACAGGCGAGGGGTGTGTAACATCAAACTAATCCAATCTAAACTCCACCCGACTCAGGGCCTCTTTGATGCAATCCCAAAGTTAGCAATGTGGCCTTCAGACTGCAGAGCGCTGACGGTCTCTGTCGGACACTCAGTCACAGTCCATGGGTGCTTTGTAGCTGGCCAGTGTCTGTTACCATTAACTCTCTTCATGGTTGCACCAGCTAGACCCCTTGCACTTATTGGGGGAATAAAATGAAGAAGAAAAACAAAAGGAAAAAAATGACAAGAGAAAGTAAATTGCTATTGGCAGATCCCAACACACTTTCTGGGAGACAGTAGATGAAATCACGGCACAGTAAACACGTGCTGCCCAAAATCAGCCTTGTTGGAGAGTAATCCCAACTGCCACCCCCAAGACACAGGGTCTGGTCCACTTATCTACAGTCTGAGATGCTCACCAACAGAAATGGTTTAAAGGATTTTGGACACAAAAGGCTAGAAGAGAAAGCCTGAGATGATGGATTCTGTGATTTGTTGCAGAGTGATAAGAGTAAATGGTAAGTGTTGTGTCCAGAGGTGAAGAATCCATGGTCAGCAGAGAGGAGAGGGAAGGCCAGTCCACTGGCAGGTGCTCAGTAGTCATCCAAAGTTTCAATTTCACCCATATTGAGTCGCTCCGACGAAGCATTGACTGAAAACCCTGCAGGAAAAATTGACAATGAGTGACCAACACCCAGACAACTATGTGTCTCAAAGGCAATGGGCTACAATTCTGGGCAGAAGGCTGGAATATGAGTCTCTTATTTTTGAGCACACCATAAGGGTGGAATAATCAGGGGAAGAAGAAAGAAGGATAAAGGTTAGAGCAGTGGTTTTGTTTTCTGCCCTTCAAATAAGAGATTTTTGTTTTTGTCTTATTTCTTAAGGTTCTAACATAATTTAATTAGGGAGAAAAAAACAAAAAACAAAAAAATACCAGCATTACTGCTTAAACAGAATTACAAACCATTGCCTTAGAGAGTCCAGAAAGGAACCTGGGGTATAAGTGTGTATTCAGGCTAGGCCAGGCCAGGCTGGTCCCTGGGGGAGAGGGGAAATTCATTCAGGTTATATACCTTAAAAGAAATGGGGCCTTAGCTGCATTTGGGGCCCTAGCCTGTTTGGCTCAGTGGACATAGTGTTGACATGTGGACTGAAGGGTCCCAGGTTCGATTCTGGTTAAGGGCACGTACCTTGGTTTGCAGGCTCAATCCTTGGCCTGAGTTAGGCGCATGCAGGAAGCAACCAATCAATGTGTCTCATATCAATGTTTCTCTCTCTCATCCTCCCTTCCACTCTCTCTAAAAATCAATGGGAAAAAAAAAAATCCTTGGGTAAGGATTAACAAAAAATAAGAAATGGGGGCAGGAAAGCAGAGGTAACACATTCTGAGTGAGAGCAATGCTACTTCAGCCCCACTCACTACTGGGAACACCACCACCCTTAATTCAAAAAAACTATCAAATTCCGGCCAAGAGCTTTTGCAATTCAGAGGTAGGCGGCTTCAGGATAGATCCACTACAAAATCCCTAGGGCCCTCAGAAATTATTTCTATCACATAGAATAGATCACAAAAATATTCAAGTATTTTATTCAACTCAGTCTATTTTAAGTAGACCTGCAAAGGAAAGAATTTCAGTTAGCAATACTGAGTAAGTAAAATGGAATTTGTTTTAGAATAGCAGAACTGCCCTGGACAGTGTTTCTCAGTGCATCAGCTCACTCACTAACGGGTCTCAAATTAGGTTCCAGATTAAAGGCATATACCTAGTTTGGTCATGGTGTGGGAGGCAACCAATTGATGTTTTTCTCCCTCCTTCCCTTCCACTCTCTCTAAAAAATGGAAAAAATATACTTGGGTGAGGATTACCAACAACAATAACAACAAAAATAGAATGAGTACTAGCACTGAAGGCAGCAAGCAGTACTCACAAATACTACTAACATTTGAAAACCTAATGCCACCAGCCACATGTATGTAATTTTCCCATAAACTCCATAATCAGAGATTGATAAATAGAGTTATTTACAGGGCCTCTTTGGAAGGACTGACTCCCGAAAAGTTTTCAGTTCATCCACCCTAAATGAAATCCCAAACTGTTTAACTGCTATTTGAGTATCAAAAAGTAAACAAGCCATGTTCTCCAGTCTAAAAGCAGTTCTGTTAATATTATTTGAGTTTTTAGCCTCCTCCTTTTTATTCCTAATGTTCAAGTTTTCAAACAAATACATTTTTTAAAGGTACCAATAATAAACCAAAAATGTTCTACATAATAAAAACAGCTTAATTATATTACATTCTTGACTCAAAAATATCATGAATTAAAAACATAAGCACGTCTGTTTATTAACCAGGGAAGCTGTGGTACAAGCTGCTTATAGGCCTGAGTCTGGGAGAATCAAGGTCTCCAAACCCCAACCTGAGCTCTACCCAGCAACCTTGTTCCCACAGCCCACAAGACTTTCTCCCTTAAAAAAAATGAAAGGCTTAGTGTTTGTATTTTTAAATAACAGTTTAATTAGGTAAGTATAAATACCTAAACACCAAACAAGTCTATGAAATGAGCTATTAATCTTCTCTGAAGCAGGTTTTTCTTTGATGTCACATATATCTCGAGAATAGATGAAATGTGATAAAAACAATAATGAACTACAGGCAATAAAAGTGAAAATGTAATAACACAAATTAAATTATTTCTTAACCATAAAAAAGACAGGAAGGAGAAGAAGCCTGAGAGAGAGAAAAAAAAAAAAGTTATTTATCTATTGCCATAATATGCTGATAACCAGGATTTTCGCAGACATGGTCTTATTTACTTGCCATAGAAAACTAGTAAGGTGGACACTTTCCCCATTTGATAAAAAGGAAAGCTCTGGAACACCAGGACGCCCAAGGAAATGCAAACGAGGATTTAAGCCTAAGAAGCCTAGCTCTAAAGACACATTCTCTTAGGTTCAGAACAACAGGCTGCCTCTCACTCACACAATTTCTTTAAGGTTCAAGAGCCTGTTTTTATTTTATTTTTAAAACATACTTTTATTGATTCCAGAGAGGAAGGGAGAGGGAGAGAGATAGAAACATCGATGATGAGAGAGAATCACTAACTGGCTGCCTCCTGCACACCCCCACACAGGGGATCGCACCCGCAACCCAGGTATATGCCCTGACCACAAATCGAACCATGACCTCCTGGTTCATAAGTTGAACATTCAACCACTGAGCCACACTGGCTGAGTTGAGAGCCTGTTTTTATAAGGAAAGTATAACTGTGTGTGTTTAAATTGCACGGGTTCACTTACTTATAGATGGATTTTTTTTCAATAAGTATGCAGTTGGCCCTTTGTATCCCAGGATTTCACATCTATAAATTCAGCCAACCTTGATGGAAAACAGTATTTTTAACTGGAAACTGGGAATCAATGGATGCAGAAGGCAGACTATATACATTGTTGTATGGCAATTTATATAAGGCACTTGAGAATCCTCAGATTTTGGTATCCGTACCAGTCCTGGAACCAATCCCCCACAGATGCAAGGGATGAATGAAGTTAAGTTTTGGGGAAGTAAAAATTATACTCAGACTTGTGATTGTGCAGGAGGTCTAGGACCCTAACCCATGTTATTCAAGGGTCAACTGCATTTGACATATTTAAGTACAGGATTCTGGCTCACAATGGCAGCTGTTAGACAATGGAAGATATTAAAATGAAACTGGGCCAAAGCCAGTTTGGCTCAGTGGTAGAGCGTTGGTCTGCGGACTGAAAGGTCCCAGGTTCGATTCCGGTCAAGGGCATGTTCATTGGTTGTGGGCACATCCCCGGTAGGGGGGGTGCAAGAGGCAGCTGGCCGATGTTTCTCTCTCATCGACATTTCTAGCTCTCTCTCTCTCTCCCTTCCTCTCTGTAAAAAATCAATAAAATATATTAAAAATAAAATAAAATAACATAAAATAAAATAAAATAAAATGAGACTGGGCCCCCTTCTGATGGTTTGTTTTAGAAGCATGGCTCTCTTCTGATCTACTTTTTCAATGGATACTTTTGGATCAAATTAAATCCTGTTTCCTACTCTGTGATGGGAAACTTGTAACTGGCGGATATTAATTTTCTTAATATGTAAATCAATAAGGCATATATAAATTAAAACAATAATATGTGAAAGTGAGTAGGTAAAGGGCAGAAATTAGGTAATTATCAAAGAATTTCCAGAATGAGGTTCAGTTGAACAGAAATTTTCATAAAATGGCCTAAGAGACTACCCAAGTGAGTTTCCTTAATACTTTGTTGATTTTTTTCTTCCCCTTTAAGATATTCAGATTCTTTAAACTCTTTCTAAATGACCTCTCATTCCCCTAAATGGAGATTTTAAGTCCTGTTTTTTTGTTACATCTGTAATAGGAGATGGGGTCAGATCAAACACTTAACGCAATACTTAAGCCTCATTTTCAAAAGAATCTTTTTCCTGACAGCCTAGCCTTTAAATGCTACAGCTAAGTAGCATGGGATTCTGAGCTAGAACTCACAGACTTTTAGAAACACTTTTAAATTTATATTCATCTCTGTCAAAACTAAATAAAATTTTGGACTATTCTATCCATCCTTAACATAAATTTTCAAGACAGGCAGAAAGAACAGAATTTCACCAGATCTCCATGCTCTCAAACCCAGTGTTCTGGAATTAGCTCCACTGGCAATGCTCAAAGTTTAGTTTTTGTTATTAACATTTGCTTTCCCAAGGGCAGGAAACCTCTAGAGGAAAGTGGATTCTGTTCAAGGCAGAGTGGGGTTGAAACTTCCCTCTTGCTGAGCTATTCGCTCTCTCATACGGGTCTCTCCACTGGAGTCTCATAGCCATTTCCCACTCAACTCATCCAACATTTAAATGCCCTATCATTTCCCCTAAAGCTCTCTCCACTTCACAGTGCTTGCTTATCATTTTAGCAAAAGCCAACACTACCCTTCCTGCTATCAAACCTTTCCAGTCTTTTTATCCAGCCAATTCTATCCTCTAGGATTCCTAGCTCTAAAGCCCACATTCTCTTAGGTTCAAAACAACAGGCTACCTCTCATACAATTTCTTTAAAGTTTGAGATCCTTAAAATTCCTCAAATCCATCTCCCATTCCAAAACTCAACTCACCTGGTCTATATTACAGCCTCCTAACCAAGCCAACATCCCATACCATTCTATTCCAGACAGCATGATTTATAATAGTCTATTTTACATTCATAAATGAATTAATTTTATCCTTGTATGTAGGTTGTTAGGCCAATTTAAGGAACACTAGCAACGCATCAGCTTTGCCTATGCTGTTTATTACCCAGAAACACCAGTACCCATCCTTCCTGCTAGTCTTTCAAAGCCCCAATTCAGGTGTGTCACCTTTTCCAGGAAGTTGCCTTGTGCGAAGAAGACACTGATCCTCATTACAGGACAAGAACAGCTATTGGTAACACAGAAGAGAAGAAAGAAAACAGGCCTGCTCTGCAATCCCAGGCCATGCTGACAGCAGGGTGACTGGGAAATGTTCTGAATCCTCTAGGCTGGGGTTTTCTCATTGGGAAAAGGAACATCACCTCATAAAGCAATCATTCTGAGAATCACATGATACACATGATCAATAAACACTGGCTCTTTTCTCTGAAACCTGATTGGATTTATAGTCAGTTTCCACACACAATAGCATTAAAGTTTATAAATAACTTTTACCATTCTCCATTATCATTATTTCCAAATAAATGAAAAGGCTTTCTAGGAAAATTAATATTAAATATGAAACAGGCTTTAAAGTATAAAGCACCATACAATCTAGACCCTATAGCACATGAGGCACAGCTCTTGCGTTGAGACACCCAGTAAATACTTACTACTTATTTTGAATGGTTAAAAGAATCAATTTGGTAGAAGAATTATTTCTCTTACTGAAAAAAATCCTACCATGGACTGCTATAACATGCTATTCCCCCAATGCCCAGCCGAGACTTAAGACCTGTGCTCACCTAATAAACTGGGATCTGCTCGAACCATCTTTTGTTTTTTCTTCTTCTTCCCACTCTGTACGGCCTCAAAATTGGATTGTTGGTTGTTGCTTTGATTGGTCTGAAATACTGAATGGAGTGCACTGTGGTTCATCCCCCACACGGAGTCCTGTGAAACAAGATGGTACAAGTGAAGTTACACAGTGCACGTAGGCTTGGCCCACCCTCAGAGAATGGTTGATTGCCCTCTCTCACCTTATCAACTATGAATTTCAAAGAAAAAGCATACCACATATTTTGGTAATTATGAATCCCACAGTAGTCCACTGAGCCACCCTTCTCCTTCATTTAGATTTGGACATCCTATTTAAGAGCTATGCCTCCACAAAGCCTATCTTGGTAACTCCAGGTGTCACCTTGCTATGACAGCACAGTGGTCAAAACCTCTCAGGTCTGCACTGAGTCTGTACAATCCATTAGGAAATTCAATATACAGCAGATAAAATCACCAGCAGACCTCTGAATTTGGCAATTTACATGCCTCACATATCCAAAGTGGAAGGTTCCTTTATTCTCTGGGCCCCTAGACAGAGTCTAGGCTGCAAACAAACTGGTACCATCATATCAAATAAAGTAAATGCCCTGCACTTTATTTCTATTGACAATCCCAGGAGGGGTCTAGTCTTAAAACATTTTCCATACTTCTACCAACTGGTTCAACTACAAAATGATCTACCAGTTATTTCACACTTACTTGTTGCACTTATTAGAGCAATTTATTCAAAACTGGGATCAAGCCCTGGCTGATGTAGCTTGGTGCTTACAGCATCGGCCTGCACACCAAAGAGTCTCCCGGTTAAGGGCATACACCTGGGTTGCAGGTTCAATCCAGGCTCCATTGGGGCGTGTGCAGGAGGCAACCAATCTCTCTCTCTCCCTAAAACTCAATGGAAAAAAGTCCTCAGGTGAGAATTAACAAAACAAACAAACAAAAAACACTGAGATAAATATTTAGTGAGCTAGCTGAAGGCAGGGTGGGTGGAGAAAGTCCTGTGGAAGGATGAGCCTGGATGCATTTGCCCTGGACCTTTGTCTTCCTACTTCAGCAAAGTCTACCACTTCACAAATGCAAAGGGCCTTCTGCATTGCTACAGAATGTCTCTTCTCTTATAATTCTCCAAAATATTTTTCCTAGTACTGTTCATATTTACATCTTTTCACTTTTCCTTCAGTTGATCCCTGTTAGTCCTCTACTCAAATGTATTTCAAATGCCCTATACTTCACTGTATATTGCATGTTCCCAGAAGTGACCTATAAAACAAACATCATCTCTAGTAAAATTATGTAATTAAAGAATATATTCTAAAGCCTCTCCCTTAATTATGCCAGTTAGTCTTTCAAAAAACTTATACAACAAATCCTCATTATTCATGGATTCCACATTAATAAATTCATTACAATAGTCTGCCCTTATCGATGGTTTTGTCTTCCTTGGTTTCAGCAATCAATCAGAGTCCGAAAATATGAAATGGAAAATTCCAATAATAAACAATTCATGAGTTTTAAATTGTGCACTGCTTTGAGTAGCATGATGATATTTTGTACCACCCCACTCAGTGCCACCTTGGACATGAATCATCCCTTAGTCCAGCATCACCATGCTGTCTGTGTACTTGCTACCTGCCCATTAGACATTTAGTAGCTACCTTGGTATCGGGCCTGTTATCAGAGAGCTAAAGACACCACATTCACCTAACTTCTATTACAATATATTGTTATAATTGTTTAGTGTTGTTAATCATTTATTGTGGCTAATTTATAAATTAAACTTCATATTAAGTATGTATGTACAGGAAAAAACATAGAGGATTTAGTATTACCCACAATTTCAGGCATCCACTGAGGGTCTTACAACATGTCTGCTGTGGATAAGGGGGGACTACTGTACTCATTGTAATTTATTTGTAACCCTCAAATCAATATCAGAAGTGCTTTTGTGGTCTACATGTCCAGAGCAGTGAAAAGTCTGAGTTGCTCGAGGTACACATTTGCAGTTGAGGCAGATCAGAGCAATACTCTGCCTACCTATCTCAGCTCTCATATTGTAAACAAGCATTTTTAGCCTATTTAGTGTCATGTTTCCCACATTTTTGTCCTTTTCTGTTGATGATTTCATTGCTTAAAATAGCCCCCAAGTGTTAAGTGCTGTCTAGTGTTCCTAAGCACAAGGAGTCTGTGATGTGCCTTATAGAAAATATATGTTAGGTAAGCTTCATTCAGGCATGAGTTAGAGTGTGCTGGCTGTGAGTTCAATATTAAGGAATCAACAATAAAGGGGGCCAAAACCAGTTTGGCTCAGTGGATAGAGGGTCAGCCTGCAGACTGAAAGGTCCCGGGTTTGATTCCGGTCAAGGACAAGTACCTTGGTTCTGGGCACATCCCTAATCGGGCGAGTGCAAGAGGCAGCTGATCGATGATTCTCTCTCATTGATGTTTCTAACTCTCTATCCCTCTCTCTTCCTCTCTGTAAAAAATCAATAAAAAATATATATATTTTTTAAAAACAACAATAAAGGGGTAGGCAAAAGTTTTACAAATAATACAATAATTAATAAGAATATAATAACCTATTTCACAATCACAACTGTAAACCTACTTTTGCCCATCCCTGTATCCTACCTAATAAAAGAGAAACATGCAAATTGACCGTACCTTCGCTATGCCCACCAGCCAATCAGGGCAACTATGCAAATTAACCAAACCAAGATGGTGGTTAATTTGCATATCCAGGCCAGAGCGAAGACTGAGGACAGCGAAGAAAGAAGCCAAGCACCACAGAAAGGAGCGAGAAGCAAGCAAGTGGGGTGAGGGAGAAGGGAGGGAAGCACGCAGGGCTGTAGAGAAGGGAGGGAAGCAGGCAGGGCAGTGACAGCAGCAGGAAGCCCTATTGCAGGAATCTTCCTGCAATGGGTCTAGTACTACCTAATAAAAGAGTAATATGCAAATTAACCATCTCTCTGCTCAAGCCACACCCACCAGTGCATCAGAGCGAGTATGCAAATTAACCCCAACCAAGATGGCTGCAGCCACAGAGAGCAGTTGAAAGGCTTGGGTTTCAATAGAGGAAGCCAAGGTTTCCACATGCCCTGGCTCGACTAGGCCTCCACTCAAGGTTACAAAGTTTCAATTATAAAAGGTAAATAAATCCCAACAGAAATGGCAAAAGCCACAGAGTGAGCAGGGGGTTGGCTTCACTCCAGGCTACAAAGTTTCAACTGTAGAAGATAAATAAATTCCAGATACCAGGGCCTCCACTTGGGTCACTGGGGGGGCGTGACTGGCCTGTAGATCACCACAGGTCCCTTGTCCAGGCTGCCCCACACCCCAAAGGAACCCCCACACTGATCCAGGACACCATTCAGGACAAACCAGCTGGCCCTCACCCATGCACCAGGCCTCTATCCTATCTAATAGAAGAGTAATATGCAGATTGACCATCATTCCAACACACAAGATGGCTGCCCCCATGTGGTCAAAGATCCTGCCCCCATGTGGACACAAGATGGCCAGCAGAGGAGGGCACTTGGGAGAGACCAGGCCTGCAAGGGAGGGCAGTTGAGAGGGAACAGGACTGCAAAGGAGGGCTGTTGGAGGCAATCAATCCTAAAGGGGAGGGTAGTTAGGGGTGACCAGGCCAGCAGAGGAGGGAAGTTGGAGGCAAACAGGCTGGCAGGGAAGCAGTTAGACATCAATCATGTTGGCATGGGATTGGTTAGGGGGTGATCAGGCTGGCAGGCAGAAGCGGTTAGGGGCAATCAGGAAGGCAGGCAGGCGAGCAGTTGGGAGCCAGCAGTCCTGGATTATGAGAGGGATATCCGACTGCTCATTTACACCCCTTTAGATTGGGTTTAAACGGGCAGTTTAACATTCCTTGAGGAGTCCCAGATTGGAGAGGGTGCAGGCTGGGCTGAGGGACACCCCCTCCACCCTGTGCACAAATTTTGTGCACTGGGCCTCTAGTATTAATTAAAGCATCTTGAAACAGAAACTCACATAAAATAAGGTTACATACTGATCAGCTGAAAAAAAATTGTGACCAAAAGTTTTGCAAAAAGTTAACCCTTTATTTCCCCTAGGAACAATGATTCAGTATTCACTAATTCAGTCTTGGCAGCAACTTCACAGAACACACTACTATGAATAGCAAGATCTAATTGTACCTTTAACATCCCCACCAAAAACATAGGAAATTGTCAATACTGGGTTAAATGGTTTCTGAGCACTGGAGATTTAACATTTGTAGGTTTTAACTGTTCTAAACCAAATGTATGGGTCTATGACAAGTTAAAATTTGCAATTTGACTGAGGTACGTATATTAACTAATAATGGGGCTGGTAGTGTGCTTAACAGCGAATGAATAGTTATATTTGCTATTTGAGAAATTCATCAACATCTCTGGATATGTAATTTAAAAATATCACATCTACTACAGCTTTGATCATTTAACATACAAAAATTGTATCTTGTTTTACTTTTCATCTTTCTGGCTGCTCAGAATTTCAAGGTATGAATAAATGCTCAGGCTCAGGGCTGCAATCCCTACTGCCTCCTACCTGCTGTGGCTGCTGTGGCTGTGACTGCGGCTGTGGCTGTTGCTGCTGCTGCCGCTGGCTTACTTTCTGTTTGGCACGACGCTCGAGGAACTGCTTGGCAAACTCCCTGGCCTCAGATGTGTCTCCAAAATAGCTCTTAATATAATCATGGACGTCATAAGGAGATTCTACTTCTTTCAGGAAAGAAACAAATGTGGGGACTGCAACATGAAAGGGGGAAAAGAGGTAAAGAGTAATAATGAAACACCACATAACAAAAAATTAGCTTCAGTTTTTAATATATTGTCAATTCTACACAGACATTGATGATGGAAACTTAAGAGGTACATAGCTATTGTATTAAAGTCCTTAATCCACCTTAGAAATTAAAAACAAAACAAAACACTATCATTGCATTATCTCAAATTATCTGAAATGGACTAGAGTCAAATAAAGACATATCACATGCTTAGTTTTACCAAACATTATTTCAATTGAAACAACTGCTTGCCTAAGTCTGAAGTCATCTGGGTATTCTTTTTTTTTTTTTTTTAAATCAAATAATACTTATAAGTGCCATGATGTGTACCAGACACTTCAATAGATACTAAAGATATAGCCATCTCCTCCTTTCACATCACTGAGATGTCATATGTTTAGAGAGAAATCAAGCAGTGCAGTGTACGAGAAAAGCACAAGTGTCAGTTACACAAACATGAGTTTAAAACTGACTAGGGAACTTGCTGGCTGTGTGACCTTGATGAGTGTAGTAGCCATTCTGAGCCTCCATTTCCTAATTTATAAAATGTAGGTAACATCATTTACATTGTAAAGGTAGCTTATAAAATTGCTGCAAAAATTAAATTGGGATAATATACGTTAACCCTGAGAGAGTGCCTAGCATATCATAGGTGCTTAATGAATGGTAGCCGTTACTGTTATTTACTATTGTTTTTTCTGGCTCTATTTAGAACATTAGGTATTATTACAATAATACCTAATGGCAAAGATCTATTCAATCCTTTAATGCTATGTTTTAGATAAAACACATTAGAGGTGGACTGGTTCAACATGGTCTATTAGCTATGGGAATTCCCAACACCTAGCTGACCAATCTCTGTTCAACATTTGTGGGTGAAGGAGTGACTCACTTCTACCTAAGGCAGAAAGTTCTCTTTGTGTCAGCTAACAAATAGCAAGTTTTTCTTCAAATTGTCCTGAAACCTTTTCACGTCCACATACTGGTCCTAGTTTTATGCTATACAAAATTAAGTCTACTTACTCTGTCACACAATTTCCATCCCACCCCCAAAGCAGGAAGAGAAGAGCTCATACAATTACCTCAACCTCCTCTTGCCCAGGTTGACCTTTGTCCCCACCACGGCAGTTCCTTCTTTCATGCTTGGCACTGTCCTTCATAACAGGATCAGTAAGGAACTATGACCACCTCTGTCTTATACATCATATGACAGCCAGAGATAGCATTTACTTTTTGGCAGCCTCTCATAATTTGAGCACAGTATTACGGGCTTCTATCACAAGTTTTATATGATTAAAGAGCCAAGTTTTTATGGCAGGTGCAGGACCTCTATTAGATCATTCCAGTTTGCCAACCTCTTTGTGGGCCCTGCTCTGCAATCTACATGCTATGTTTCCCTCCCCAATTCTTACCATCCAAGTTATTTGCCGTATTAAGGGCATGAAGCATCTGTTCACACCATTGCGTAAATCCATCTTGGGCTTTATTTACTCCCTGAAAGAGCTTCAGCAACTTTTCTTCTTCTTCTACTTTCTTATTCTGCCGGTTAGACACACCTACAGATTTACTAAAGCAAAACAATAGGGCAATATTATATTCCCAGAAACTGTTACTATATGATTATACTACAACACCATAAATAATGTTTTGGCAACACTGGATGGCTATCCAATAATCCAATGCGTGGCTCAAAACACTCAAATATTTGGATTTGGGGTTTACTCAATAGCTCTTTAAAATCTAGTCTCAGCAAATACATTCTAGTTTGTGAATACAGGGTTTCTTTTCAGAGAAATGATTCAATTCTTCCTGTGTGTACTTTGTTAATTTTTTAAGTTTTGCTAAGCCTCAGTTTTCTCATCTGTAAAATACTAATATCTCTTTGGTTATCAAAGGGAATAAAGATATTGTACACAAAGGCCTAAAAGCATAGTCCTGTATGAACTGGCAGATATTTAGCATCCTATTCATAATTTATTATGCCCTCAATTAATAATTGAGGTAACAATATGACATAAGAAACAATATGACAACACTACCATTTATTAAGTACCTGCTATGTGCCAAGCACCTTACTATTTTACGTGTATTTATTTAGTCTTTACAACTATATTCATGAAGTTATTCTTATCTTCATTTTACAGATGAGGGAACTGAGGTTCAAGGTCACACAGCTAATAAATGATAGTGCTGGGATTTCAGTTCATGTTTCACTTAAAATCCATGCTCATAAAACTCTGTATATTGAGGAAAGATGAAGATGAAAGGTAACTAACATCATAAAAATTAAACAGGTTTAAGGTCATTACAGAAGTGTTTATTATACTTAGTATAAGTAACTTAAAAAATATATATTTAGAAAAAAATGTTAAGATCTAGAGAATATCTTGGGAAAATGTTCAATAACAACAAAAATATACTATTCCTAATGTTTATTAAGTGGTTACCAAGTGATAGGCAATGGACTAAGTGCCCAGTAGTAGGAGCCCCTAGGTAGCCAAACTATGACCTCATGTGCTTAGACACAGATGAAAATAGCAGAAACTAAATAATTACCTTTCTCTGCCCACCCAATATCCCAATTCCCAAGCGTCCCTTCCCCCAACCCATCAAGGAGCATAAGTTTGATCATTTTGGGCCCTACCTGAGGCTGGCGTTGTTTTTGTTTTTATTTGAGTTCCTAGGTCCCACCTCTTTCACTGCATCGTCCCAGAATCCCATGTTGGAGTTTTTAGTGTCAGCATTACTCCAGATACTACTAACTAGGTCAGATGCCCACTGGTTGGGGGGACCTGTATTTATAGAGCCCCAAACAGAGTTCCCAATGCTGGTGTGCAAGTTGGAATGCTGTTTAAAAAAAAAAAGAGAGAGACAAATAATTACAGTTAATATTAAAAAGATAAAAAGAGAGTACAAAAAAGCCAGAAAAGAGAACAACCATCCTCAGAAGGATTGCTCAGGAAAATGAACCCACCGTACTATTCCGGGCTCTGTTTGGTTGCTGGTGCTGCTGCTGCTGCTGTTGCTTCTGCATTTGCCTGGCTTCCTCCTGTTGTATCTCTAGGAGCGACTTAGCTGTGCCTGCGGGTTTGCTGACATTCCCCCAGCCTGAGAGTTTCTGTTGCTGCTGCTGTTGCTGCTGCTGCTGCTGTTGCTGCAGAGCCTTCATCAGCTCCCTCTGCTGGCGCCTCTGCTGCTGCACATAAATGGAAGCCAGCTCAAGATTCCAGTTTCAAAAATAATAGTTACATATGCCCAGTATACTAACTGGAGTGCAAATATATAGTAGCGATACCAAATTAAACACCTAACTGGGTTAACTCCTTTGCTGCAAATAAAGACATAGACTGCTAAAGCTACTAAGAGGAAATAAGATAAAATGCAGAATTACTTTTTAAAAATTAAGTAGGGCTTCTGGTTAAGCATAGAAATGAAATACATTCTTACTTCCTAAGCCCTACCAAAATGACAGGAAAAAAAATTTTTTTTTTTTAAGTACAAATTATAAGGACAAAGAAAACAGAATCAATTAAAAAGCTGGAAAGCAGGTAAATAATGACAGTCAATGTAAAAGACTCAAAAGGTTAAAAAGTAAAGGCAGCTCAGAAATGAGTCAATTTGCCGAAACCAGTTTGGCTCAGTAGATAGAGCATCTGTCTGTGGACTGAAAGGTCCCAGGTTAGATTCCGGTCAAGGACATGTACCTTGGCTGCGGGCACATCCCCAGTAGGGGGCGTGCAAGAGGCAGCTGATCGATGGTTCTCTCTCAATGATGTTTCTAACTCTCTATCCCTCTCCCTTCCTCTCTGTAAAAAATCAATAAAATATATTAAAAAAAAAAAAAGACATGAGTCAATTCATGACAGCCAATGTAAAAGACCCAAAAAGTTAAAAATTAAGTAAAGGAAGCTCAGAAATGAGGCATGGATATCTCAAACAGAGAAGACTGGCTGAACATCTATAAAAAGCAGTAGTGAGGCTCCAGACTGCCTGCCCCACCCATTACAATTGGGCAGCTCTCTCTCCTTCTCCCTTCTTCTCAAAAATCAATTTTAAAAAGTAAGAAAATAAAAACAGAATTGCCGCACATTAAACCCTGAGCATCCAAATCTGAATAGGTTGGGAGGGTCCTGAAAAGGCTACCTCCCAGGAAAGAGTATAATAAAATTATCCTAAGTCTCCTTTCATGAGAAATATCTATTGAGGAACATTTCCTATCTTTTAGAGTAAACGAAGATTTATGGTTCAAAAAATATAAAAATGAGACAATGTCTAAATTGTGACAAAAAGATGACCAAGACCTGTGATTCTCTATTATCTTTCATTCAGCAGAGACCAAAATTATGGAATGATTTCTAGCCATGAAAGATGATATACTCTGCTATGTATCTGTTTGTTAATAAGCTTTTTAACTTTTTTTTTTTTAATTGATTTCAGAGAGGAAAGGAGAGGAAGAGATAGATACATTAATGATGAGGGAGAATCATTGATTGGCTGCCTCCTGCCACAGTGGGGATCGAGCCAGCAACCCAGGCATGTGCCCTTGGCCGGAATCAAACCTGGCATCCTTCATTCCGCAGGCCAACGCTCCATCCACTGAGCCAAAACAGCTAGGGCTATTGATGAGCTTTTTAAAAAAGAAATGATTTCAGGGTAAATTCTGTCTTTCTCTATTTGAAGAGGGTGGGAAATAAGGTAATTTTAAAGATGAAACATTTTAACCCATTTGATGAGGTCAAGCACACTACATGGTGAATATGTAGAGACAACTCTCACTTTTCTTTGTGCACCCATGACCTTCAGTGAACGACACAACTCAGTTCTAAAATGACAGCTTACATTGTAACAAATTGACTACTTTGCCTCCAATCATATCCACATACACTCTTTAAAATTATGTACTTTATGCTACCTTTTCAGAGGCTTTCCCAGATTGCACTAGCTAAAATTAGACAACCAATCATGACCACTAATAACTTTTATTGTCATCTCCTCTCAATTACAGGGTAAGCTTTATAAAAGCAGAGAATTTTGGCCCTACCCCATTTGGCTCAATAGATAGAGCATCGGCCTGCAGCCTGAAAGATCCCGGGTTCAATTCTGGTCAAGGGCACATACCTGGGTTGTGGCTCAATCCCCAGTACAGGGCAGGCAGCTGATCAATAATTCTCTCTCATCATTAATGTTTCTCTCTCTCTGAAATCAACAAAAAATATATTAAAAATAAAATAAAAGCAGGTAATTTTGCCTGTTTCGGTTTCAGCTATATTCCCAGACTGGGAGGGATGAATGAATATATGGCATACTGAACCATTTTACTTCATTTTCTCTTATATAAAGAACTGTATCCCTCCCACCTCCATTTCTTCTTTCATTCTTTTGTATCCTTACTATCCTAAAGATATCAACTTACAACTACTACGGGATACAGACTTAAGCAGAGACTTAATTTCTCATATTGGCATATTTTAGAGCAGTGGTTCTCAACCTTTCTAATGCCATGACCCTTTAATACAGTTCCTCATGTTATGGTAATCCCCAACCAAATTATTTTCATTGCTACTTCCTAACTGTAAATTTGCTACTGTTAATGAATCGTAACGTGAATACCTGTGTTTTCCAATGGACTTAAGGTTCTACAACATTTATTTTTTAAATTTACCTCTTCCCGAAGTTGCCGTTCTCGTTCCTCTTCCAGTTTTTGGATTTCAGCCAATGACAGTGTTGCCTGGGACTGACATGCTGTTGTATTAGACTGCTGGCCCCACGTTGAAGAAGAGGGAAGCTAACAGAAAAGGAAATCAGAATAGTGCGTGAGGAAATGTGGACAGGAAATAGGCACTAATGTATCGTATACAAGCAGAACATTCAGACTCCCCATGCAATACTTTTACACACTATTCCCCAAGTTGGTTTCTTTTACTTAAATTTTCTGTCACTACTCCAAACCTAAGGTTATTTCAAAACCACTTAAAATATATGCAATACTTTTATTTGCTCTATTTGGGGGGTTGCCAATTTGTTATATCTAGCATTGACAAATACAGCAATATACAGACATAAAGAGAAACAAATAAACAAAGGTAACACTAAATTTTTAATCCAAGGAGGCAATTACTTCATGATGTGAGACTTTCCAGTGAAAGGATTAAGGACAGATTTCTGCAGGAGGAGCTGAAGTGGACAGCTAATGGAAGATACCAGGCATAGTTTTCAGTCTTTTATGAAAGTAACCATTAACCAAACTGCAGCTCCTAGTCCTGAGCACTAAGCAGCTTTTAATCAGAAACTCTATGTTCCTATCCCTTAAAATTATGGAATAAAATAAGAGTGTAAATACCTAGGTTCTAAATACCTTAGCATTCTCAAAAGCCTGATTATTGCCCAGCCAGAGTGGTTCAATTGGTGAGTGTCATCCCATGCACCGAAAGGTTGCCAGTTTGATTCCTGTCAGGGCACATATACCTGGATAGCAGGTTTGATTCCCACTCTGGGAGTGTACAGAAGGCAACTGATCAATGTTTCTCTATCACATCGATGTCTGTCTCTCTGTCTCTCCCTTCCTCTTTCTAAGCATGCCTTCAAGTGAAAATTAAAAAAGGAAAAAAGCCTGATTATTCTAAGAGAATCCCTTGGTCTCCTAGGCGATAAAATTGTGAATTCAAATTGTGAGACATCTTATGGATCTTAAAAATAAAATATAAATCTAACCAGACTTAAAACATTTACTAAAAATAATATGTGAACATGGATAAAAATGAACAAAATGCCCAAAGCCGCCCCCCCCCCCCCAATAATGGCTCCATAGCAGAAATCTCTAAAATCGGAGCTTATAGGATATGGGTATAAACAGTTACAATTGTCATTGATATTACCAAAGAGCTCTCCAAATGCATAGCCTTAACACTACTGAATAACGAGTCAATTTGTAACAAGTTTTGACCAATGTTACAGGTAGTAGTGGCATTTCTCTAAAAAATGCACCAGTCCTGGGGTGTGGGAGAAGTGCAGAGGGAAACTGAGAGAGAAAGATGGTAGACTAGGTAAGCAAAGTTGAACACAAACAAATGCTTTTTCTCCACAGGAAATGACCCACTTGGAAGGTGCTATCAAGATCAAATAAGGCATTAGATCTCAAAGCTGGTAGCTTCACATGGGAGGCCTGTAAAAATGTAGACACCCTGGCCCCACACTTGATTAATCAGAAGGTCAGGCCAGAAAAATTGCATACTTTTGCAATTAGATAATGCCAGTAACCACTAATGTCTAAAATTCTACCCTGCAATGAAAGGCCACAGATTAGATTCCCAATCAGGGCATATGCCTGGGTTATGGATTCAATACCGGGTTGGGGTGCATATGGAGGCAACCGATTGATGTTTCTCTTTCTCTTCCTCTCCCTTCCTCTCTTCCTAAAATCAGTAACAACATATTAAAAAATAAAATCCCAGTGGATGTGTCACTCCATAGTACCCTGGAACCAGCCCCACACCCCCTTCCCCTCCTCTTCCGCAGAACGTAGGCCCACACCAGGAGGAGATGCACAACCTCCTGATATGGCCTATTTTCCTTTTAGGCACCTCTGAGAGCCTTTCCACTGCTGTGCCAAAATATACTTCAGTATACTTTTTGCTCATGATTCACAGGTCTGCTCTCTGGAGTAAAGCAGAACAAATCTAAAATTTCACATGACAGACAAATGTCTGCAGATAACTATCATTTTCCTTAAATCTTATCTGTACATAGGAAATAATATCCCATCACTCCAGGACATTTTCCAGTTCAACCAACATTCTGTACAGTCCACTCAGAACTGCATTTTATCAATCATGCTTTTCAGAACAATTCTCTTCCAAATCATCAGCAAATAGTAAGGAATTGGGCACATTTTGTAACCCTTGAAAGCCTACTATCCTTTGTCGATTTTTTTTATTTACTTTTTTCTGCCCTGACATTGCTACCTTATTTTCGACACTATTTTTTATTTAAAAAAAAAAAAAAATTGTGTTCCTCATCCAGTATGATAGCACAAGCAGCTCCGTAGACCTAATTCTTCAGCAAAAATGGTGGAAAGTATTTTTTCAAAATAACTTAAAGATTCTGGAAATGCTCCCTAGGAAATACAGCAAAGGAAACATTTCAAGAAAAGCTGCTAAAACCTGGTTAAGAACAGAGTCTGTGGTACTTATACCAATACCCTTCTCTCCCAACTCAGTCAGACAGAAACTCCACTCCAAATGAGTGGAGCCAGGGACACAGGCTTCCCTCTCCCCCTCTGTTGGCTGGCTTCCTGGAAAGCACTTCAGCCCTTCTCATCCTAGCTCCAGCTACCTGATGCAAAGGCTGTTATAGAGGCAATACAGCTGAGAAGTGTGGGCTCCCTCTTCATGTTTATCCCTCTTCGTAAAATGAAAACTACTGAGACTACTAGGGCTCTGATTGCCACTGCCTTCACTGGAAAGGCCACCATGCCACCAGAAAAGGCAAGCTAAAAAGACCTGAGATTCAAGAGCTCAACTCCTAAATAGTGTCACTCAGAGAAAAGCACAGTATTGTTCCCAGCCCAGAGCTGTGACTTAAGAGATTTTGCTTGGGAATGATGGTGGGAGGAATAAATTGGAATATGGAGAGCTCCAGGCCTCTTCCCAAAGGAACTGACTTCATTTGCAACAGCATGGAGAATGAGGAGTTTGGGCCAGGAACACTTTTTTTTTTAAAAAAAGGGAAGGACAAGGAGAAAGGCAACTGGGAGGAAATGGGAAGATTTACTGGAGATATAGGCTGAACTGTCTGTCTACCACTACTTGGTCTCAGAGAACCAATGAAGAGTTGAAGAAGTTATCCTGGGATCAGAACAAACTTCAAATATTGACCTCAGGAAGTAGCTCTTCAAAGAAGGCAGAATTTGATTGTATTAGTTTGGACCAGCAAAAAGCAACTTGTGCCTCAGGACACTTTTGAGAACAATAGAGCAATCAAGCTGGCAACTAATAGAGCTGAACAGCTGGATGTGAAAAAAGAAAGGCCTATTCAAATCAGTATTATCCCAGAGTGATTGTGAAAACACCCAGGGCTGTGCCCCAGAAGAGCAGCAGCAGAGGCTTCACACAGTTGGGGAGAATGGGACTTCACCAACTATTCTAGCCAGTCACAAAATAGTGATGCCTAAGGCCACTTGTCTCCCACCATCCGTGTTCTAATTCCCTTGTGTATGTCTATCCTGTAAGCCCCTTGAAGACAGGGACACTGAGCCTTATTACTAACTACAGACCCCATGTGAAGTTGTGCAGACCCTGCCATAAATCTGCCTGTCTGCTCCCAATCACTCCAGCTTCATCAACAGTTCCACTGCTTTCCCAGTCACTTGAAGCTTACGAACTAGCAGCCACCCAGCTTTGACCCTCAGATCCAGACAGTCACTAAGTCTTGCTGATTGCTATTAATACAAGTCTGTCCTGCTGCCCCTTCCTATTCATTCTCACTCCCACCATCATATTATCTTTACTGATCTCTCAGTCTTCTCTTTCTACAACTTCAAATAATGCTTTGAATACTCATAAAACAACACTTTGCATACATAACTTCAAGTTCGCTGCCTTTTAAGCCCAAATGATGGTTCCTATTTACACATCCAAATGTTTATATCTCCTGTTCACATAAGGCTGGGAGCTCAGTGAGGCAGGTACCTCCTCTTATTTACCTTTACCTCAGCAGGGCTTTACTACTACTACAGTAGATACTCCAATGAGCTGCATTAAATTTATGAAACACATGCCCTGGCCAGGTGGCCCCGTTGATTAGAGCAACTCCTAGAGCACCAAAAAGTGGCCGGTTCAATTCCGTCTGGGCATGTACGGGAGGCAACTGATTAATGTCTCTCTCTCTCCCCTCTCTAAAATCAATTTTTAAAAATTAAAAAAAATTTATGAACCAAATATTTAATTTTGCCTGTATCACTGGCTAATGTCCTATCCTCTTTTATTTATTCCTCTCTTGTTTAAAGGCCTACACAAAGTACATGCATCATATTATGTTTTATTGATAAAAAAAATCATTGCAGTAAATTTAACATTGAAGAAAGCACTATTTTACTGCCAGCATCAGGCTTTACCTTCATCTGCGCCAGCTGCTGCTGTTGCTGCTGCTGCTGCAGCCTCCGCAGAGCCTCCTGCTGCTGCTGCCGCTGGCGCATCAACTCCTTGTGCCTCTGGAGCTCCAGCTCTTTCCTCTTCCGCTCTTCCTCCTCCTGCCGCAGCCTGGCTGCCTCCTCTTCCATTCGCAGCCGGTTCTCCTCTAATCGACGCTGGGCTTCTTCTTCTTCCCGGGCCCATTTTGCAGCCTCCTCTTCCTTCCAAGGAAAAACAAAAGAGAATAAAATTTGTGTGGTGTGGTTTTTTTAAAATCTGAATCACTTCTGAAGTAACAGAGAAAGGCAGAAACTTTATTTATGATAATATAAGGTAGAGTTAAATACTCTTTTTTTAAAATTTATTTTATTGTGTGTTTTTTTTTACAGAGAGAAAGGGAGATAGAATTAGAAACATCGATGGGAGAGAAACTTTGATCAGCTGCCTCCTGCACACCCCCTACTGGGGATGTGCTCGCAAACTGAGGAATCGAAGCTGGAACCCTTCAGTCCACAGGCCAATCAACGCTCTATCCACCGAGCCAAATCGGCTAGGGCTAAATATTCTTTTAAAATATATGTATAGTAGCCACAAAGGCCTAGCATGCTTACAGGATAAATTTTCATTGGCTTGCTACATAAAAGGAATGTTACTTTTATTTGTGATAAGTACTGATCTCTAAGAAATCACCGCCAACTACAGGGAAGTCTCTTGGAAACTGTTCCAACACTGAAGCAAACTGCTGCCAGGACCTTGCAGGGATGTTGATGACCAAGAAAGTCTCAGCCAGGGCTGGAACCAGAGCAACTTCACAAGAGCACTTCATTCAGTCCCTGGCTCTCACCCACTGTGGCCCACAGGTTCCTTGGACAAACTCTCCTTGATCCACCCTCTACCCCTCTGGCTGCTGCTAATGGCAGAATGACATGGTTGGAGTAGAATTAGACAGTGCTAATTGTTGCAGAATGTTGGGACTATATTAAGAAGCAATGAATTGTACACTTTCAAAGAATGAATTGAAGAATACCCTCAGGCAAAAGCTGTCACTTGCAGATCTCACTTTTGGTTTTTAAAGAGTATGTCTTTGGATTTCTTCACTGGTAGTCTATTTTTTGTTTGTTTTGCTTCTCTGATATGTAGCTCGGCTTTTATAATTACATGTGGGACTGTTATTACGAAAATAAGAAGAGCCAGTTAGGTCTCTTTTGGTAATTTTCAGCAACCTGAAAAAGACAGGCTATCTAAACACTTTGAAGAACACCCCAATATCATATTAGTGTCACTAATCCCCAGCTTCAAGTAGCAATGAGAAGAGTAAAACATCAGTCACCTGCTTGCGTAACAATTCTTCCTGCTTCCGCCTTTCTTCCTCTTCTCTTCTCCTCTCCTCCAGTCTCCTAAGAGCTTCTTCTTGCTGCTGCCTTTCTTCCTCTTCTCGCTGTCGCCTTAATGCAATCTCTTGCTCCCTCTGGCGTCGCAGGGCCTCTTCCTATAGTAATAAAAAAGGTGTGTGTGTGTGTGTGTGTGTGTGTGTGTGTGTGAGAGAGAGAGAGAGAGAGAGAGAGAGAGAGAGAGAGAGAGAGAAACTATGGGACTCAATTAATATATTACACATCATAATTTGAAAAGGAATAGGCTGTATGCTGCAAAAACTCTGTTAAGAGCAAACATAAAAAGTATACAGAGTAGCCCAGTCACAGTGGCTCAGTGGTCGAGTGTTGACCTAGGGACCAGGTGGTCATGGTTTGATTCCTGGTCAGGGCACTTATCTGGGGCACACAGTAGACAGCTAATTGATAAATCTCTGTCATCCTTGATGTTTTTCTCTCTCACCCTCTCCCTTCCTCTCTGAAATAAAATATATATATATTAAAAAGTATGCAGAGTAAACAGTATATATGTAAGTTGAGAAAAAAGATACATTAAGAGTTAAAATAATTTGTGCCCTGACCTGGTAGTTGTTGATTGGAGCACTGTCCCATGCACCAAAAAGATTGTGGGTTCAATTCCCAGTTAAAGGGACATATCTAAGTTGCAGGTTCGATCCCTATTTGGGGTGAGTATGGGAGGCAATTGATCATTGTTTCTTTTCCCCTCCCTCCCTTCTTCCTCCTTCCCTCCCTCACTCCATTATCTCTCTGAAATCAATAAAAACATCCTCGGGAGAGGATTTTTTTTTTAAAGAGTTAAAACAATTTGTATTTAGAATATAAATAGCATTATACTCTGAATTCTACCTTGGTTTCCACATTAGCTATATTTACTTATTACCCCTAGAAAGAAAGGGTCTATTAGGACTTGGCCTTAGTTTTCTCCACTGGGACCATCAGCTCCCATTTTTTTAACCAGCTCAGAACCTAAGGTATAGTCAGATCAAATCAACATTCCGTAGCTACCAAAAATATTTGGTGAGGTAGGAATAAGTTCTCCAGTCAGCAGTACTGAATAAAGTTATGTCTCCCAGAACAAAAGTCCCACAGATATTAAATATACAGAAAAGGGTCCCATTGTTAAGTAATTTAGGAAATACTGAGTATCACAGAATTAAACAGACTTCCTTACTGCAATATTTCTTAAGAGCCTTTAAATGCTAATACAATATGGCTCTGAGAAACATTCGTAGTTCTAATCTAATCTCAGCATAGACCCTTTTGTTTTTCACAGAGTGCCTCCTTGTGGCCAACAAAAAGTAGAAAATGTGAGGTAAAATCTAGACACTGGGACTATTACAAAGAGGATTCTTTCCATTGGGATCTTTAAAAATCCCAGTAAAAAATAGGCCAAGCACACGAATAGAAAATTCTACAACCCACCCCCTTCCAAATACAATGACTAAAAATTCATGAAAAATATTCAATGATACTGGTTATAAATATTTAGACAAAGATTTGGTTACTTCTGATATCTGATTTATAAAACCCCAGGAAATACACAAAAGAAATAAATTCTAATGTTTCACTTGGACTGAGGATTCTCCCTCCAGTGGGTGCTAGTGGACAAGACACTCTTTCTAAAGGAAAGTGAGTCTTCTAAGGTTCCAATCCAGTTTTGACCTTGGATAAACCATCTCTGAACTTCAGCTTGTGAAATAATAGAAGTGAGGGAGCTACCCTGAATGCCCTCCTTCAGCACTAATCCTATGGTCAGAGTTCTCGGAGATAGGGTTACCTGCTTCCTTCGGGCAAGTTCTTCTTCTTCCCGCCTTTTTCTTTCTTCCTCCTGCTGCCTTCGGAGAATTTCCTCCTGTTGTCTCCGGAGTTCTTCTTGCCTCTTTCGCTCTTCCTCTTCCCGTTTTGCCCTCATTTCTGCCTCTCTTCTCTCCTGCTCTAGCTGTGATTACACAAGAGTATTCTTAGACACTTGACGCATGCACAGCAACACCCCAAAATCACTGACCAGTACAATGGGGAGAAGCTGAAATGTGCAAGCATCACCAGTCACTCAGTTACTTTCCACTGCAACAGGGTGATGAAAACAGTTCTGTAAGAGCTCTAAGTTCTGATTTGTCTCAGTAATCAGAACAGCTTTATGCTCTTCTAAATTGAGTGCACTCCCAGCCCACTTTTCCCTTGCTTCATACCACCTCTGCACCATACTTTCTGCATGAGGAAGAGAAGTAGCCAAGAGGAGAGGAACACCATTTTCTGGGGGGAGGGGGGTGGCCATTTCTTTGCTCATTCCACAAAAAGATTTTCTGATTGAAGATCTAACAAAGCAGCTCCAAAATTTCAAAAGCAATTTTGTAAAGCTACTGATGTAAAAAATTATATGATTCTTTAAAATCTGAAGATAAACCATTTGACAAATTCTATCCTTCATGGTCCCTAAATACAAGTCAAATCCAGCACCCAGTTTCCAGTTCTATTACCACAAGTATAGTTCTGGTTTTCCTTTTCTCACCCACATACCTAAGAGTCTCCTTATCTGGTTTCCCAGAATCCAGTTGTGCCCACGTTCCCCAGCTCAACACCTAACCTCCACATACACACACACACACACACACACACACACACACACACACACACACACACAAAAATCACTCCCATTTAAATGAGTGGTTCCCAACATGAGTCACAGGCCCACAGGGGGACAATTTGATTTTGTCTGCAGGTACTAAGAAAAACATACTCAATTTGACACACGAATTATTAAGTTAACTTTTTGCATTTCTTATGGTTTTAGGATCTCATATACAGTATATAAGTACATATTGTGCATATTGTGACATATTTATACATTTCAGTTCTCTATTGTTTTGAAACTTTATTTGCTATTTTTTCATATCACTTCATAGTACTTTTTTTTTTTTTTTTTTTTTTAACAGTTTCTTAGTGATTTCTTCCTCAGTACTTCAACTGTCCTTTTTTCTCTTTGATGGAAGTCATGTTCTTTGGAAACTTGTTTAGACCAAGCTAATGGTCTTTTAGGCTTCCTCCATGTGAATATAGGAGTTCACTTTTTGAATAAGAATTATAATGTCACCGGGGTGGGGGGGGGGGGGGGAGGAGTAGCATCATCAGGATTTTAGAGATGCTTATGTAGGGCATGGCCAAAAAAATGTTGGGAACAACTGATTTAAACTATCCTTCACCCAGAAAATAAAACCTAACATAGCATGTACAAGGATGCTCAGGACTGGCCTGCCTCTTCTTTAGTTTCCTCTCTCATCATTCATTCCTCAGACGCATCAAGGGTCCAGACCAGATCAAAGTACTCAGCTGTTTCCTTAGCCAGTATGTTTTCCTGCATTTGTGAACCTTTACAGGGTTGTTTCCTTCAATTCAGATTGAAATGTTTTCTCTTCCTACTCTATCAACCCAAAACCCTTCAACAGGGTTAAATCTTACCATCCTTCAAGTGAAAATTAACTCAGGTATTACTGTTCATTGAAAATGTTGCCCAATTTCTGATTCCTCACCTCTCCAACTAAGTAGCTGACCCATAATGCTTTTCTAGACCTGCTTGTTTATGTGTCATCATCCTCCCCCATTGCCCGCCACACACACACACACACACACACACACACACACACGACTGACTGCAAGCTCCTGTATTTCATTACTTCAGAGGATAAGACTGCATTAAGTATAAAATAAAAAAAAGTCTCTCAGAGGCATGAGAACTGGAAATCATGGCAGTGATACTAAGTATTGATAGACATCCTCATCTGGCAAGTACTAAAACCAAAATTCAAGATTCCTAGCTCCTACAAGAAAACATGAATGGATCACAGCATCTAATGTTAATGTGGAGTTTTTCAACTATGTCTGGGGGCACTAAGACATATAAATAAAAATCACTATAAAAATTCTAGATAGGAACTCAAGGGTCTAATAAGCCATGTAGTAAATATTTTCTTAAGTTTTTAGTATTTATAACAAATGTATCTAACATGAATCATGAAATTAAATATATAGATGACCATGATCATTAATGTTGTCAACCAACCAATAAATTGAATTCATTTTCACTTATAATTTTAATTCTGTTCAAGGTCTTTTTTTAGTATATATATTCACAGAATATGAAAGTGCTTATACCAACTAAGTAGCAGTAAACTAGAAGAGAAAAAATATATAGTTAGCTAAAGATACAGACATCAGTAAATTTTTGCCTGTGTCGAATTAACTGGAAAGAATGCACAGTTGTGGAAAAATGAGTTCAGACCTTTGCAGCTTTGGCCTTCTCCATCTGCTGAAGCTGTTCAAGGGCAGGTCCTGGAGTCGTCGTATCAAGGGGAAGATCCCATACACTACTACCTTCCCAACCTATAAGACAACAAAGAAAAAAAGTGAGGGATTTCAGGGCTTACAAGCACAGTCACATATCTAGGAGCATAACAAAAGAAGCTATCCCCTGAACCTGAATAAGCTCCATCATATACTATATCTGTTCTGCATCGAAGTCAACTGAACTGCCAGTGTGCTCTAATTTATATCAATAACTGTCAACACATCTAGAGGGAAAGATAGGTACCAGGCATTCATCCTCAAAAAACCCTATTCAGCCTAAATCAGTTTGGCTCAATGGATAGAGCATCGGCCTGCGGACTGAAGGGTCCCAGGTTCGATTCCGGTAAAGGGCATGTGCCTTGGTTGCGGGCACTTCCCAGTGGTGGGGTGAGGGGAATGGGAAAGAGGCAGCTGATAAAAATATATTTTTAATATGCACACACACACACACACACACACACACACACAAAAAACAAAAACAAAAAAAACCTGTTCACTCCCCCATTTTACTGATGAACAAGCTAAGGGCCAGAGGTAATTCTGTAACATCCCCAAGAATACAGGACAAGCATGTGGCCATGCTAGGACTGAAATCCCACTCTGTGAATCAGATCCCAAAGTCCACCATATTTCTAATAACCACACCACCTCTTACTGAATGCACTAAATGGGGAATAGGGTTAAGAAGGGCATAGCTATGGAACTAGAGAAAACTAAGTGGCTGTACAATATTGTGAATGCATGCATTATTTATTTATTTTAAAACAGTTAATTCTATGTTATAAGATTTCAGTTCAGTAAGAGAGAGGAAAAAAGAGAAAGGAATAGCTGGAGCTAGGGCAGGCCTTTGGAAAGGCTAGCAAGTCTCACAAACAACACTTGGTCCTACTGACCTGAGAGTCAGATGTGGAAGTAAATAAACAAGAGGAGGTTTCTGAGTCGGTTTTCCTATTGTCAGCAACATTTGCTGACACCACTTTTCAGCATTCTCTATTTCCTACATTCCTATTATAGTCTACTTATGGACTATAAATTATTGTCTATATAAAACGGAGTATTTGTAAAGGACCTTAACTGCATCATATCAAAGAAAGAAGTTGTTTAATAAGGTACTAACGGTTTCCCCAAAACTGGAGAGTATTTTAACATCCTAACTATAAATGGCTGCCAAAAAAAAAAAAAGGTACATATAGCATGGGAAGTTGATGAAGAAGAGGGAGGATAATCAGACTTTCTGCCATAATCCTCAGAGTCACTGTTAGTGAGAGAACCTGAGTAGCTCAATTAGTCTAAGAAAAATCCATCAATGCCCATGTTCCTGAGAATTTTCAACATATACTATAACCTCTTGTAAGGACTACCCACTTTTTGCAGAAATCAGATCTTAAGAAAAAGAAGTACTCCACCAATAGCAACTTTTTAAAAATCCCAGCCCCAAAAATGTTCTAATATACGGCAAAGGGGGGAAAAAGGAGAATGAGGTTAAGATGTTCACTTCAAAGCAGGCTTTTCTCTTCTCCAAATTCCTGGGTACCTGTAGGCTGTGAAGCTGTTGTTTGAAGCTCCCAGATAGACCCAGTATCTGGCACTGACACAGATCTAGTCACTGAGGAAATGACACTCTGATCAGATATTCTGCAAAAGGGAAATAAAAAGAACTTGTTTTTGTTATTTTGCCAAAATAAGGAGGAACTTTTATATTACTTGTAGATTTTCCAGATGATTTGGCCAGAAACCCCATTGTTTTAACTAAATGCTAACACTACTACAGCATCTGGGAGAAATGGAAGAATAATCACTCTCTGGACTACTAAGATCTTAGCAAACACTGATTTCCAAATAATGAATATACTAGCTTCAAAATCCACAACATCTCAATAAACAGAGGCATGTTATAATGGAAAAAAAAAACACACCAAAAAAACCCACAGACTCTAAGTCAAAAGGTCTGTATTTTAGTCCTATCTCTGAAGTTTTCTGTATATTATGTCAACTAAGACCTCGAGCCTCTCAGTGTCCCAGTTTGCCCATCTGTAAAATGGATACTTTATCACTTAACATGATGGGTTACAGCTCAAAAGAGAAGTGTAAAAGGTTTTAATTAAACTGGACAGTAAGATTTTAAAGAGTAGTGGCTGCTCTTTGCAGAAGATAAAATAAATATTACCCTGAATGATAATCAGAAACAGCAGAAAGTTAACATAATTTCTAGCACAATTTCCTTTTGTTTTTTGAATGACCTTAATAGCATTTAGATTCTGGAAAATGATAACCCTGTATGACATTACTAATATTTTGAGATAGCTAGCACATGTAAAAATGAGATTAAGCTTTTAGACTACAACTTTTTTGGTTGCTGGTTCCATAAGACTACATTGCCTCTCAGGTGTTATCCTTTGCAATTTATTCTCTGCATAAAAAGAGCAAGTAAATGCTTTACCCCCAGTCTAGTTCTTTTTAAAAACTATATTCTATTTTAACACACATCATCACAGTTTTCTGTGGTATGTGAGTTTTTGATACCTGAGTTCACACATACCCATATTTTTTTTTCTTTATCTGAGACACACACACACGCGCGCACACACACACACACACACACACACACACACGGACATATATCATGAAATGACCACCAACCTCATCTTCAGAGCCTGAAACTGTTGGAGAAGAAGTGCCAACTGTTGCTGCTGCTGGGAAGACAAGGCTGCTTTCTGCTGTTGAGCCAAAACCTGTGCATACTGTTGTCTTTAAAAAGTAGAAAAAGTGTAACCTGTCTACCCATATTTAGTTCACTTTACTGAGACAATGAAAGACATGGTTTAATCTACCACTTTCCCAAAACCACCATCAGAAACAGCTAAGAAATATCTATAATAATAAAAGCAAAATATGCTAATTAGAGTGGATGACCTTCTGGATGAAGCCAGGGCTGCGAGGGAAGCCCGGGTCCCAGGTGCCTGCCTGCTGGCGGCCTGAGGGAAGCCCGGGTCTCAGGTGCCAGAGGGAAGCTATTTCTGGCAGTCGGGGGAAGGAAGGCCTACTCTTGCATAAATTTTATGCATTGGGCCTCTGGTATTTTATAGTTCTTCATGAGAACAATAGTCACACAGAAAATTCTATACTTCTAGAAAGAACTGAACTTATAGATCACATGCTTCTGGAAGGGGGATAACAAACATAAAAAACTGGCAAACTCCTTCAAAATGATGAAGAAATTTGCTAGTTTTTTTTTTTTTTTAATACTTTAATAGTCTTATATCAGAAAACAAGTTAAAAATAAAACAAAATCAAATAGCTATTTCCACATAAAGCACCCTTTGCAAAAATAAAATCACTGTTATAAAAATTCTCAAATTTGTTTCAGCTGGGAAAATTTTAGGTAAAATTATTTTCCGCTAGATCAGAGGTAGACAGATTTTCCAGTAAAGCGCCAGACAGTAAATATTTCTGGCTTTGCAGACCATATGCATTACTCAATGCTGCCATCTTTATTCAAAAGCAGCCACAAATAATATGCACACAAATTGGTGTGTCCATAAAACTCTGTTTATAAAACAGGTAGCAGGATGCCAACCTCTGCACGGATGACAGGCAATCTTAGCTTTTCTACAAAAGGAACATACAAGCTAAGTGATTCAGCCATAATTCCACACCACTTCTAACAGTATAAATTTTTACTTCTTTTCTGTCCTCTGGTCTATGTTTTTTCTCTGTAGCATTCAAAGTTGAGCTTTTTAGGAGGCACGTAATTCTTAAAATGCTTGTTGATTATTGCTTTTGGAACTAATAAGCTTGCAAAATTACAATACTGTGTCATCTTCTACAAACTTCTAGTATTTAAGAAAACAAAACTTAGTGATAACATGCCACTGGAAGGGTGACTGAAATATCCTAAAACTTTTAGTTTTCTGCTATAAAAGGTGAAACTTGTGAGCAGATGCTATCAAAGGCCCCTTTGAAGCTACAGTACACCCTCTATAGTACTGTTCTTACTGTATTAAGAACTGCTGGTACTGAAGGTGCTGCATCTGATATAAGGCTGTAAGTTCTTGCTGCCTGGTCAGTCGCTCCTGGTCCAACTCTCCCTGAGAGTAAAGAAATGGGGGGAGAAATACCACTGAATAAATTGCAAAGAACCTAAAAGCCATTTAGTACCTGTATCTAAAAGCAAAATGAATCCCAGGTCTTCAGTTCCCACTCCACCTTTACATCCAAAATGCACAACTTATAAAAACCTCAGGCATTTGTAAAAACCAAACAGTTCCATCTAATGGAAGACTAGAAGCTGGGTGCATGAATTTGTGCACATTGAAAGGAAATTAATTAGAGGAGGGCTGCAGGGTGTGTCCGGCCCATCTTGCCCAGTCCAATCAGTGGGACCACAACAGGAAGGTAACCTACCGGTGGAAGCGTTTGCTCCTAGTGTCCCAACCTAATGGTCGGATACTTAGCATACTGAGCTTTTATTATATAGAATTCCCTAAGGTGTGGGGAAGGGTTCTTATTTCAGATGCTGTTCACTCTCTCTCCTGCCCTTGAAGCTGAACTAAAAAATGTATAATTCTCCTAATATTAAAAGTGATTTATAAATATGTTATATAATCAGAAATTATAGAAATGGGACGTTATCTAAAGGTTAAAGGAAATGGCACATAACACAGGGTGCCTATATGTAAGTATGTCTTCTTAAGATAATGAGAAAAAAATGTCTTACTATTTTTTATTGACTTCAGAGAGGAAGGGAGAGGGAGGGAGAGATAAAAACACCAATGCTAAGAGAGAAAAAGTAAAATTTCCTACCCCAAAATTAGGTTTCTCTACTGCTACTAATACATCATAAGTTTTACAAAAACAAGCTGTAGTAAAACCCTGGATTTTTGGCTTATATTTCAAATAACATGGTCTGAAATTTAAATTTGAAAAGCTTAAAATGAAAAAAATAAGGGAAGTATAAGAAAAATATATTAGTCCCCCTTATTCATAGTTTCACTTCCTACAGTTTCAGTTACCTACAATCAAACATGGACCAAAAATAGTAAATAAAAAATTCCAGAAATAAATAACTTATAAGTTTTAAACTGTGTGCTACTTAAAGTAGCTACTTTAGTATGATAAAATCTCAAACTATCTCCATTACCCTCCCCAAGATATAAATCATCCCTCTGTCCAGAGTGCCCACAAGGCAGATGCTACCCTCCAAGTCAAGTCACTTAGTAGACGTCCTACTTATCAGATCCATTGGGAGGTGGGGAGAGAAGGGTATCACATTCACATCACTTTTATTATAGTATTCCCATATAACAAAAGGCTAATATGCAAATAGACCAAATGGTAGAACAACCAGAACAACCAGTTGCTATGATGTGTGCTGACTACCAGGGGACATGTGCGGAAATGGTGGGTGTTGGCCACGGCAGGAGGGTGGAGCAGGTGAGTAGGAGTGCCAGACCAAGGGAGGAAGCCGGTTGCTGTCAACAGGGTGAACCTCTGGTGGTTACTAAAAATTCTTTGTTCCCGAGCATGGCAGTCCTGCCCGGTGCTCACATCTGCTGCTGGTGCCAACCCCGCTCGCACTCACTGTCCATGCCCACTGCTGGTCCCGATCACTTGGTGCCATCAGTTGATGTGAGCAGCAGGTACTGGCCCAATAGCCCTTGAGGGTTTCTCCACCTCCCCCTGCTCCTGAGGGGCAATTGGGGCAGCAGCTGTTGCTCGCACCCACTGACGGCGCCAGCCCCACTTGCACCGCTGCTGGAGCCAGCCCCAATTGCTCTCCACCATCAGCAGGTGCAAGTGGGGCCAGTGCCGTCATCAGTGCATGGGAGCGGTGGCAGCAGAAGCAGGGCTGTCAGCAGACAGGGGACAGGGGGCTATGGCATGAGGGGCCGGGCAGGAGCGCAGAGAATGCGCCAAGACCCAAATCTTGCCAACCATAGCCTTGTGGCCCCCAGTTCCTTTCACGAATTCATGCACTAGACCCCTAGTATTATTACAACTGATCTATTTGATTAGTTATTGTTGTTAATCACTTACTGTGCCCAATTTATAAATTAACCTTTATCATTGATATGTATATATAGGAAGAATAAACATAACATATACAGGGTTTGGCATTTTCTGCAGTTTCAGGTATCCATTACTCCCTACAGATAAGGGGGGGAATACTGTAAAAGTATAAGGGTGACATAGACTAAACTTAGGCAAATCATTAATGAATATTTATATCTTTATGGTTTGCAATAAAACATGATAATTTCTTGGGCTAGGAATCATCTAAAATTAAAGCTACATAAAAACTATGGTAAGTTCATCTAAATTTTTTTTTATGAAAATCCTATCTAATAACGAAGGAATATGCAAATTGATCGTCACACCATAACAAGATGGCTGCGCCCATAGCAGAGGCAGGGATTCCATAACACAAGCCACAGCAGAGGCCAAATGCCCTTAAGGAGCCTTAACGAGCAATCAGTAGGCACCTCAGGCGTGCCCCCAGGCCATGCCCCCTGCCCAGTGGGGCTTGATGGGGGTGAGGCCAGCTGGAGCTGGATCTAGCCCAATGGGGGTGGGGTCAGCCAGGTCTGGGTCTTGCACGATTTCGAGGCGCATGGGGATGGGCATGGACTTGATGCCCCAGACTCTGACAAGAGGAAGATTTTCATATACATTTTTCATCTCTGACACTTCTATTATAGACAAAGGGCAAATAGCAATATTAAAATATTTCCTCTAATTCCCTTTTAATGTGCAGGAATTTTGTGTACCGGGTCACTAGTATTCATCATAAAGATGAACTCACTTATCAGTGCAAAGGCAACAGCTGACAGGAAGCAGAGCTTCCCATGGTTTTTCCCCTAAGTGAATCTGACTGAGGCTCAGTCCTATCATTAGAAGTCAGGAAATGGACTACAGAAAGTTTGCTAAGCTCCAAGTAATGATCTTTCAGCTCTGAAACAGACAAGATAAAACTCATACCAATTCAGAGAAGGAAAATAAAGCTCAAACTTGGTACGTAAGTTAAATTTATACAATAATACACTATAATTTTTCTTTGAATTTATAACATAAATAAATTCCCAGTAAATAAATATTTACTGCTCTCCAAATTATAGGTCTCAACCCATTGATGGATTGTAAAATAAATGACTGGGTCAAGTTCAACATTTGAATAATAAAAAGAAAAGAAATAGAACAGAAGATATGTGCAGGACAAAATGTTTTGTAAAATGCACAAAGTAACTTTTTTTTATTTTTTACTACAGGCCATGGTCAAAAATGTTTGATAGCCACTATTTTCACCTATGAATGCCCTTGATAAGAAATTATATCTTATTCATCCTCATCTCTTCAGAACCTATTACAAGGCCTGGCATAGGATCTCAACTTAGAGTTAATGAATAAGTCAATGGTGTTTGCATTGTAGAAATCCTGTGTTCACAAGGTGGTTTCTAACTATGGCTACTTTTGACTAGGAACCAGATACTCCTATACTTGGAGGAGGAAAAGTAAGGCACAGATACAAAGCTCTCCAAGAGGAACTCTTTGGGGAGAAGGTCGGGAACAGCTGAAAAGGAGTCGTATTTTCCGGCTTATAAGACGACTTTTAAAACGAAAAAAAGTCAACCGAAAATCGGGGGCAAAAGACCAAAATTGAACAAAAATTACCTGCAGATCGTGACGGCAAAGTAAGTCTTTTCTTTGAAGTGGGGGGTAGTCTTATACAGTGAATATAGGCCTAAACCTATGTTTTAACTGTAAAATTAGTGGGTGGTCTTATACGCCGGAAAACACGGTATTATTTCCCATTCAAAGGTACTCCAGGGCCACTATACAAAAGGGCTATTTTATGATCCAGTTTTTAGTTACAATACCAGTAGTTTTTTTTTGTTTTTTTTTAAATCCTCATCCAAAGATATTTTTTCCATAGGAAAGGAAGTGAATCTGTATTTAATAAATGTTCTAGGTGAACTGTACGGTACTTACCATATGAGAAGGGGGTGCAGGACCAGAAGAGAAGGGAACCCTTCCCCACATTTTCATGATATCACCAAGAGGTTGGAAGCTTTCATCACATGCTCTCTTCACCAATAAAGACATAGTAAAATAGCCCGCCTGAAACCATTCTGCCATCTCCTGATTATTGAAGGGACCTACAACACCAATTAAAACAGAAAGGCAATAAGAATCCTTTCAGGCTAAAGAGGGAAAAAATACTTTGTGTTTGAACCTCATCCAGAGGTAACAACTTGTTTCAGGTGGTGCCTGTCAAATAATTTGTAAGATAGACTTAATTTCTCTCCAAAGGCTTCTAATAAAATACAACCAAAAAGATTTCAAAATAAGCAGTGCTGAGATTTTAAAGAACATAATAGTCTCCATTTCACTCAATCTCTATAATTCATTTGTCAAAGAAGTACATTAATAAAACTGAAAAGAGTATTTGTTAGACTCTATGTCACTTTGTAATAGAGAATACAGATATGCAGGGCAGAATACATGCTTTTCTAAATTTTCATTTTCTGCCAGAGATCTAGCCATTAGGGAAATGCAAGTTTAAAACTATGAGGTATCATGACACACTTGGCAGAATGGTTATCATTAAAAATAGCCACATCATGCATTGGCAGGTATGGCCCAGGTGGTTGGGCATCATACTGTTCACCAAAAAGTTGCTGATTCGATTCCCCGTCAGGGTACATGCCCAGGTTTCGGGCTCAGTCCTCAGTAGAGGGCTTGCAGTAGGCAACCCATTGATGTTTCGCTCTTACATACATGCCTCTCTTTTCCTCTCTAGAAATCAATAACAATATTTTAAAGTAATAAAATTATTTTCTGTAAAGAAAATATGAGTCACTCATAGATTGCTGGTGGGAATATAAAATGGTACAGCCCTTCTGGAAAGCAGTTTGGCAATTTCTTTAAAAATCAAACAAAACCTAAACATGTAATCACCATATAATCCAGCAATTGCACTAGTGAACATATTTTATCTCATAGGACTAAAACTTATGTTCACATAAAAACCTATCCATGAATGTTTTAAAATCTTTATTATAATAGCCAAAATCAGAACCCAGATGCCATTCACATTAAACTATGATACATCGAGATAGAACACTAAATTAAAAGAAACAAACTATTGATACATGCAACAAACTGAATGAATCTCCAGAGAATTATATTGAGAAATGACAACGCCAAATGTTTAAATACTGTATGATTCCATTTATATAACATTCTTGAAATGACAAAATATAGAAATGGGGAACTGATCAGTAGTTTCCGGGGATTAAGGAGGAGGAGAAGGGGGTGTGGATGGGAGGGGATGGATATTGCTATAAAAGGGTAACCGAAGGGATGCTACTGTTGAGACAGAAACACTGAATCTTGACTATCTGTGTCATTGCCTTGATTGTGTACTACAGTTTTGCAAGAGGTTACACTGGGGAAACCAGTGAAAGGTATGTGGAATCTCCATTTTATTTCTTACAAGCGCATGTGAAGCAACAATTATCTCTAAGTAAATTTAATTAAAACACACATCCATATGTATTTTAATTAAAACCCTGCTCTTACATACTTTACATTCTATAGATCATGACAAATATATACAGGTAGCGATAGATGCTATGAAGAAGAATGAAGCAGGTTAAGGGTACTGAGAGTGGGAAAGAAGTTATTACATTGGAGAGAGGTCACTTGGTTAAACACTGCCATAAAAATGACACTAATACAGTAAATAACCAATTTCAAGTTATTAGCAAAAATTTCAAAAGCAGAAATGAAGAATCAGCAAATATCCTTTACAGCATTCTCTCTGCATTCTAATTTTTATTTTTTAAAATATATTTTTATGAATTTCAGAGAGGAAGGGAGAGAGGAAAAAACACAGAAACCTACAACAGAGGCTCACTGATCTGCTGCTCCTACATCTCTACTGGTGATCCAGCCTACAACCCAGTGTGTGCCCTGACCAGGATTCAAAAAGTGATCTCCTGATTCATAGATCAACACTGGCCAGGCTCTCCCTATTCTAATTTAACTTATGAATCATACAAATCTTTTAAGGAATTGGTTTATAACATGACACTATTTCTCAGACATTTTTAATAGTTTTTATCACTTAATATCAACTCCACTTTAGTGAAATATTAAAGCAGTCTTCCAAAATCGCTCTCATTACCTTTTTATGGAAAGAAGACTGGAATATAGAGAAGGTAAGTAACTCACCTGCCTAATAAATCAGGTGGGATGCCAGAATTGAGGGAGGTCTTAAGCATTTTGCTTACATCCTTATCAAATTAGCATGACATTCTGCCCTATATTCAAATTATTTTCATTGGACTTCCCTTCCCCTCACTGAAATAGTAAAGTACTATGGGAGGAGCCTATAAAAATGCCTTCTATATATAAAGAAAGCCAATAGCATGAAAATTAACATTAATCACCACCATCTTAAATCTGGAGGTAACATCAGACTCTTCTATATTAAAGTAGAACAAAACCACCTACCCTGAATTTCTCCCTGAGGATCTTTGTAATACCACTTCTGCATTGCTTCATGCATTGATGGACCCGAGACACCCTTAGCTCTGTGCTCTTGCAGTTTTGATGCCAGTCTCTCATCATCTAGTGCACTGTCTTGGAGATATGCCACCATCTTCTCAGCTTGCTAACAGAAAAACAAAAAATGGAAAGAAAAGATCCTAAATTAATACTCGTACACATAAAAAAAAAATATGCCTACCTCTTTTGGACTACTAAAGACATTATGCAAGGAACACAGTAGATAATGGTTTAATTTTTACTACAATGCCATGAAAACAGGTACTACCCCCCATTTCACAAAGGGAAAGTCTTATTCAGGGTCTCAAAATTATTAAGCAAACTGAAGATTAGAAGCAGTTGATCAATGATTCTCTCTCATACACCAACTGATATGGATCAAAGCCCAGGCTTCTAATCAATGCACTAATAATAATATTTTTTTAAAATTTATAAACCACTGTTCAATCTTATATTGTATAAACCGTTAAATACGGGCATGTTAACAGAACAAAAAGCTCCAATAGTATCATTACCAATAAAATCTTTTGCACGTTTTACTAAGACACTGCCTCCTTTCTTCCTTTCTTCAACATTGCTTGTCACTAACAATCCCCTCCCTGAAGGCAAGAGAAGTTCTTCTGTAGAAAGCAAGCTATTATTTACTTTGCATGTGAACAACGGTATATACAAACTTAGGGAAATCTAGAAACATGATTAAGATATTAATATCGCCGAGACCGGTTTGGCTCAATGGATAGAGCGTCGGCTTGGGGACTGAAGGACCCGGGTTCGATTCTGGTCAAGGGCATGTACCTTGGTTGCGGGCATATCCCCAGTAGGGGGTGTGCAAGAGGCAGCTAATCGATGACTCTCTCTCATCGATGTTTCTAACTCTCTCTCTCTCTCCCTTCCTCTCTGTACAAAATCAATAAAATATATTTAAAAAAAAAGAAAAAGATATTAATATCCTGCGAGTTTTACTATTTTCCCTGTTATACTTTAGGTATAATATGCAGAAGACACAGTACCTATCCACAGCTGCTTGTATTCACCATTTTTGGCATTCCATTAATTTACAAAGAAAAAAGAAAAGCAAATAGCTAAAGGCAACCTCAGAAGAGCAAAAAATAACCTGACATGACTACTACATAGCAGAAACTTATAAGCATGAAATGATTTCAAAGAAAAATTTCATACAAATAAATACTATAAATACAAACAACTTTTCCAGTACATAAAATCTGGTGCACAAAGTCCCATTTTTGAATATTCATTAATGCTTTCTAATATTTATAGCTGTTGGAGAAAAAAATAATTACATGATTTTTACCTGCTCCAAATGCTTGAGACCCTCTTCATCATCTGGCTCTGTGGAAACACTGCCCATACCAGGAGCACCTCCAACCTGAGCTTCACCTAGCCGGAGGGCAGCACTAGGATTAGGAAGAGGAGGTGGAAGTATGAGGAGAGGAGAGGCTGTGTCTGAAGGAATCTGAGGCAGGGGCTGCTGGGCATCAGGAATCATTTCTAGAGGGAAAAAATATGTAGACAGATAAAAACCCTTTAAAATATAGAGAATCTTATGAAGAATAAGTCTATATCAAGTTGAGCAGCTTGTTAAATGGCTCAGCTACTTCTGAAGAAGTACAGTATTTCTCCCCAGAATGACAAAATATAAGGATTAAAAGATATCCAGAAGGGCCTTCTACAGTACCTACCTATGTCACTAGAGCATCTACCCACCCAATGGATATGCGTTTATCTCTTGAAAGAGTCAGTCTAATCCTAATATCAAGTCTCAGAATAGTAGAGAAAGTTAACAAAGCATTGTAAATCTTCTCAAAGATTGCATATCTCATCACTAAAACCTTTATTAAAAATCTCTACAATTATCTTGAATAAGTTCCTTTTCAAGTCATAATTAATGTAACTCAATACATTATATATTGTAGGATACTGAAAAATACTTGGAGTCTACCTGTGCAGTGCAGGAAGTTCTTCTCAGTAAGAATAGCAAAAGAGGTTCTATGTTGGTTCCTGTTTCTAACGTATTAGTATACAGGCTCTTAAGAAGGAAAAGGGGGATGGAACTAATTAGAAACGATTGCAGTTTTCCCTTTGAAATTTTGTTTGATCAATTATAGATAGCTTTTCTAAATTCCTGTTCCTCTCACTCTTTCCTTCCTTTGCCAAATTTTTTCCAAAAGACAGTCTATACAAGTTGTGTTCACTTCACCACCATCTACACCTGCTACACTGTGACTTCCACTCCCACCCCTCCAGTCACACTTCTTTTCCAAAGATAGGCGGTGACATAAAGTTCCCAAAACCAGTGTTTTCCTCATCCTCATCACCCAATCTCATAGTAGTGTCTGACATTATCGACCCTATTCCAAGCTGAAAACATTCTCCTTCCTCCATTTTCCTGCACACTACTCTTGCCTCTGAAGACTTTTCTCTGGCTCCTCTTTATCCTCTAAAAATTGGAATTATAGCTGGGGAAAAAACTGAAATTGCCCCAAGTTCTGTTCTCTGTCCACTTTTCTTTTCAACCCTATTTTAATTTTAATTTTAATTCTCTCTCTAGCCCTAAACTCTTCCTATCTTTGCAGTCCCTTACTCAATTGCTCTCTGGCCATCTCAGCCTTTTTCTCATTAAAACCTCAGAATCAATATTCAAAACTAATTTATCCTCTTCCCTTCAAATGTGCTCAATTTCTGATCTTTTTCTATTAATGGTAGCATAATCCTCTCAGACAACTCACTCATCTTTGACTCTTCACTTTTCCTTGCCCTGATATATAAGCATTGATTATGTCCTGCCAAATTCTACTTTGAAATCTCATCTGCGACTACCTCCCTTTATATGTACACTGCCTCCATCATAATGACTACTTAGGAGCCCAACAGGTCACCTGAACCCACCTGTCATCAAAACAATCTACCCTACATACATCTGTCAAATCCATGTTCCAACCATGTTTCCCACCATTCTCCTTCTACACCTCATGATTCATCTGAACAAAAACAGAAGCTGGTTCCTGCCCATGCCTGGACCAGCCCGGCTTCCTCACTTTAGCTTTTACTGATTCTGAGGTGTTGATGGGAAATTAAGTACAGCTTTCACTGTACTAGTATGCTCTTTCCTAATTCATCCACCTACACCTACCTCCAAATTCTACTTATTATTCCAAGACAAACTCAAGACACTTGCTTCCTAAAGCACTGCAGTTTACCAATCATGAACTCATACAATTCCTTTTTGCCCTAGATTATTAATAATACACAGTTTATCTCCCCTAAATCGAGTTTCAATCTTTAATGCCTATCTATGAAGCGTTCTCAAAATACACATTTGACCCCATCCTAAAATTTCAAAATGTACAAGTCCCAGAGTGCCTGATATATATAGCAGAGATTCAAATATGTGCTGAATTCATTCATTCACATTTGTTCTAGACATAAAACGCTATAAGGAAATCCTTGGTTCAAGCCCTCAAAATACTAGTTTATTGAGCAAAAAAAGACAAAAAGGTCTTTATAATACTATATTGCTATTTTAGAAATATTGTTTAAGAAGCAAGGCTTGGGAAGATGAGGTGGGAGAGAGTGTCAGGTTCAGAGAACAGCGTGTGCTAAGGCACAAGGCAAGAGAACACGGCACATTTCAGAACCTAGCAGGCTATGGTGAATAGTATACAAAGGAGACAGACTGGTGCTAAAACTGCATGAAGTGAGGCAGAAGCCCAATCATGCAAGATATCAAAGACCATATGGAAAGGTGTGAATTTTTCACCCGCTGGTGTTGCCCAGTGGTTAAGTGTTGACCTATGAACCAAGAGTTCTCCAGTTTGATTCCCAGACAGGGCACATGCCCGGGTTGCAGGCTCAATTCCCAGCAGGGGGCAAGCAATAGACAGCCAATCAATGATGATTCTCTTATCAATGTTTCTTTCTATCCCTCTCTTTTCCCCTCCGTAAAAATCAATAAAAACGTATTTAAAATTAAAAAAAGGTGGCATCTTTATGGTGAAAGAATCAATTAACCCTTCAACACCAGGCCTTACAATGTCATATTTTAGTATGTACAAGAAACATGGAAATATTAATATTGCTTACTAAGGTATATGAGCAACTTAAAATCAATATAGTAACAGTGGAGGAGATATATTTTAAGCTTATTCTACAGCAAAATTTATGGGAATCCCATAGATTCATCCTTGTTCTTTCTGGCCTCTTTTGGAACAATAGCAATGTGGTATGTCATCTAGAAACACACATAGCCTTTACATAAAAGGAAGGTACTGTCTGATTATCAGAATCAAATTACTGCAGAGGATCACAAACCCAGTATGCTCAACTGGTACCAGGGTGGTTATATCATAACACTCTGGGCACTGAGACTCCTGAGTTCCACCTTTGCTTCCTCTAACTCTTATGTTTTGGTAATTCTGGAATGGACACATATGGGAAGCGGAGTTTGACTAGGCTTACCAGTAAAATAATGTGTTTTAATGCAGTTCTAGGAGGCATAAGCAGAAACCTATCTTACCAGTCAGTGATCGAATCCCTACTTTAAAGCAAAATCCTACTTTAGCTTAATGACTCACAAATACATACCATCCCCTCTGCTGGGCATTTTGGTTGGCAGACTATTTTCCGTCCGACTCTCTTCTTCAGTTTTTTCTGTCTGCTCAGTTTTGGGATCCTCTTTCCTCTCAAACTGCGATGCTTCCTGAGGTGGATGATCTGAAGGAGTACCTGGTCTAGCAGATGATGTTAAGATTTGAGGTGTTTCCTCACTAGCTTCTGTAACATGAAGTAATCTTAAATTAACAATTTAGAAAATTTCTGATGTGACAGATAAAAAGTAAATGACAAAACTGCACCTTACCAACTCCTATTCTCTCTGACTTCTCTCCCTCTTTCTTAGTTGTCTTATCAGGTTCTTTGGCTTCTTCATTATGGCTACCCTCAGAGTCAGAGCACTCCTCTCCTTCTTCTACAGGCCGGAAGTCCATCTCCTGCTCTTCTGGAATAGCCTCTTTCTGTACTTTCTGTAGCAAAAAATAAAGTCAAAAAGGTTAACAGCATATTTGGATTTGGTAGAAGGTCAGTGCCTATTATGACATTTAAATCAACTTCTTACCTTTAGAGAGAGGAATGCTCCAGAGGAATCAAATGTGCCCATTTCTTCCTCAGCATCCTCCAAGCACCATTCAGGCAAGCTGTCCCTGTCATCATCAATGCTGCCACTGCCAGTGCGCACCCTTCGGTAACCCCGTTCTTCATCCCGATCTCGAAAATCAAACTCAAACCTTCGCCGTCGTTCCATATGTTCCCGCCAGCCTGCAGAACGAGGGCCATCTGGGATCAGGAGGAGGACATAAACCTTAGAAAAGTTTTGTGACAATATTGGAAAAAGAAAATAATAGATAGGAAATAAAGGAGAAAACTACAACTAAAAGCAAATTCAAATACATCAACCTACTAACATAAAAGTAGGCAAATTACATGAAGTTCAGAGCTCAGCACATGTAGTTATCTTCATTAAGTACCAAGGCACAATAGACTCTAAAGCTTTTAAAGATACATTTAAAACAAATAACTTTTAAAGGATGCTTTATTCAAAGTAAAGACTTTTAATGAGCTTTAGGTATCTGACTGAAATGTTGATTAACCTACTCCTTGACCAGACTTTAGCACTGCATATCTTTCCATACTGAAGATTATGCCTTCCTTCTGGCAAGTCTGTGAAGCATTTTCTTTATTCTCTTGAAAGTATTGTTCTCTCTGAATAAGACCAGCTCCCTATGACAGTTCACATCAAAATCATCATGCCTACCTGCTAGTGCAAACATCCCATTTGTAATTCTGATTCCCAACAAAAAGTCATGGAATTACAGCACTGTCAGCTTTCAGAGAGATTTTATATAGCCCACTATCACAATTTCATAATTTAAAAAAACAAAACTTCTGATAACAGAAATAACTTGCAAATGGCAAAGCAGAATTAGAATCCAATTCTGCATCCTCTACTGCTTTTTCCACAATAACATGCTTACTTTCCTTTCCCTTCTCTCATGTCTTCCCATTCCCTAAGGAGTTATTTCCGTATAATATCCCCAGGGACATTCCTAAATTCACCCTAGCATACTGTTTATTACATCCATTGTCCAGCAAAATAAGAATGCCTAAAAATAAAAGGTTCTAGTTGAAACATATTTTTCTAAAAAAGAATGAGAAGCTTTGGTAAAGTCTGACAAACCTGAGTCTAAGAGAGTTAAAGTAAAAAAAAAAAGGGGGGGGGCAGTTTTTAACATATTAGAATTTTCTAGCCTTGACTGCTTTCTCTGTGGGAGATACACAAAAAAATGAGGCCAAAGCAAAATGTTCTTAACAATGAAGCTTAATTTGCTAAACCTAGCTATCTAAAATTCAAACTGAAAACCAAAGGGCAAAATGTTAAAATGCCAAATATGGGTAGCATTCTGTAAGCCACTCACAAAATGGTAAGACAACACTATTCCACATTCCCACCCTTTACTTAAAACAAAACACTATTTACGACCTTCTATGAAAATAAAGGAATTTTATACCCAGATCGCTTCAATGTAAACCAATAGTCATTGCTCAGAAGATGTGTTCATGATCAAATGCTGATTTCCAGAGTACTCTATTTACTGCTCTACACTGTCTGTAAATAAATATGCACCATGATAGGAATATATACTTCCAGATCTCTGGCTCACATTTCCCTCTTACTGTGTTTCCTAAGTTCAGCTCTCAGAGTGAATGCTTATAGCTGGCCTAATGCACCATCTCCACACGTATCCAGTTGTGAACCCTACGTTAATAAAACTAGATTCCATAATGTTGATTTATCAATAGTAAAAAAAAACATTTTATTCATGAAAGTTAATATAGCAGATAAGGTACATCTATAGCTTAAGACTAACAACTGCTTTAAAGACCTTCCATTAGAACTAATTTGATAGTATTTTCAAAAGATAAAATAAGTAAAAATCAATATATTTAAATTTTTAATAAAATCTTAATGAAAGATTAACTAAAATCCAAGAATTGTTAAGAGTAACTCACAATTGATACAATCAGATTTAATATGCTGATTTGAAAAAGTGATACTACTCATTTTTTAAAATGCATATTTAGACCAGTTGTTTTGTTTTTATATCCCAAAATCTTTATATCCCCCAAACTATATTTTAAAAATATGTAAATAAAAAAATTTGGAAAACTCTCAAGTTAATTACAAATAAAATTAACGTGAAAGTCAAATATTAGGAGAAAGATTTAGAAAAAGACAATATATATTCAAAATCTTAGTTATTAGTTGAGGAGGTTTGATGGTATAATATAACACTAAAATTTTACTTTGTTCAATTCCCTTTAATAGAATCAACACCATTCTTTCGAGCTCAGAATCACTGTTCATCTTCCAAAACATTCACCTTGTTTGTTTTTGATCAGCTGGAATTTTTCTTCTCGCTCAGCCCAGATCCTGTTCATTCTCACTGAAAGCTTGTTGGGAACATAGTCTACAAACCCTCTGCTAACAGGCAAGCTCAGCACAAAATGCAGTTATGCCCTGAAGAGAACAGTAACATTGGTTGCCCAGGACACAGACTGATGAGAAGTGCCTAGAAAACTATGATGTAAACAATGCCCACTGATGACAGAAAATGCACCCAAGAGGCAGTCATGAAGAGCTAGGATATAGCATCCCAACTTTATCCAAAGATTGACTTTGTCATTTCTACCTACCCACACAACTCCATAAAGCACTCTAAATGCCTGTTTGAATATTTACTTAGACCAAGACTAGTGGTTTTGCTACTTGATTTTAAAAAGTAAATGGAAACAATTTACATTATTATAATGTTCTCTATTACAGGTAAGTTCTCTTGGCATATGGTTGATAAATTATTTTATGCACGTGAAATTCAAAAGACATGTACACAGTCTTTGTATGCTTCAGTTCTGCGTGACTCCATGATTCAAACTACAGTGGCATCTGATTATCATGAGGTGTGGAATCAGCACTTTGGCAGGGGATGAACTCTGACACAAAGCACCAGTGTCTTCAGTTACCAGCATATCTAATGTCAGGGAAGAACAGTTGGAAGCATTCTTAGGAGTCAAACAGAAGAACTTATAAAACCACTAATCACTACTATTCTCTCTCTTTTTTTTAAATTAGAGGGACAAAAGAATGAACTTTTGATGTTTTTGACCTGGGTTTAAAGTTTATTCTTTAAATAAGCATGAACACATTTGCAGGACAAAAAAAAATTTCAAAGAATAAATCCTTTCTTGCACAGAAAGAAAAAAAAATTTAGGGGGAGCACATGTCCCTAATTATACATTTATTGAGTTTTAAAGCATGATGAAAAAGGACTAAGAGATTTAGAGTTAGATAGAACCAAATGAAACCCTCTCTCAGTTGTGCAATTAAGGGCAAATGCTTCCTGTGAAACCACATTATTTGCCCCAGAAAAATAAGAGTGATTTTAATCAAATAAATAGATCTGGAATATTTTTATGTTGGAATTTTTATAATACTAAAACTGAGTGTGATGACATAAATAATGACTCCATTTAAAACAAACAAACAAACAAACAACAAACAAAAAACAGTTTATCTTTCCCACTAACATCCTAACAATTTCCACCAAATCCTCAATAGAATTCTTACCAGGACTATGAGGCCGCCACCTCTCTCCATCCCTTCTTGATCCAGCTAATCGCCAACCTCCATCTTCATCTTCTCCGTTTTGTTCTTCTCTAAAAATACGCCAATTGTCACTTTCTGAACGTATAAATTCATGCTTCCTCCCCACTGCTGTTGGCCCACCTTCCTCAAAGTTTGGTCTCCCTGTAAAGAAAATAAGAAACATGAGCCTCAGCCAGTGAGAATTTGAAAACAGAGTTGGCTGCTCAAAAAAAGCTTTTCTGCAAATGTGTCCATTGCAATGTTTAGGCAGTGTAAATAAAATAAATATGGATATATACATGGATTATTAGGCACATTTCTTAAAGCTGAATGTTCATAGATAGGGCAAATATTTATTAAACAAAATAAATGCATGCATTAAAAACAGGGCATGCAATGAAAAGTAAATCAACCTTCCCCTACATAAGACACCTCCTTCAAGTTTTTTATAAAGTGTTACCAAAACTGTCCACAGCTATACTTTTGCACATATATCAGATCCCTCATTCACACTACACACCAATCCCCTTAGAATGTTATGCATGTTGTCTTATACTCTTGCTGTTTGCACAAACTGTGTAGATTGGCAATCCTTCCTTAACCAGCATATAGGTGTTCTTTTTAAGTCATATAATATTTTTAATTATATGCTATAACTTAATTTAACCAAGTTCTTCTGGTGATTCTGCCCAAACAAGATAACTGTAAATATCCAAAACAGATTGTAAACTCAAAAGTAGAGACTATGAGCTACATATAATATTTCATTTATTCTAGCACCTCGTACATTACAGACATACAACAAATTGCTTTTGAATAGAATCCAAAGTTAAGCTATGTCTAACTTTATGCAATTCAAGAGCTACATTAAGGATAAAAGACAATACTAAGTAAACTAAATTGTTACTTTCAAAAGACAATTCTAAATCGCACAAATTCTTAGCACTATCCCACGTGCACTAACATATATAATTCACAACAGATTACGTAAAATCTGAAATTTAGTTGAAAATCCAGAACATAGCCCTAACGGGTTTGGCGCAGTGGACAGAGCATCGGTCTGCAGACTGAAGGATCCCAGGTTCGATTCTAGTCAAGGGCATGTACCTTGGTTGCAGGCACATCCCCGGTAGAGTATGTTCAAGAGGCAGCTGATCGATGTTTCTCTCTCACTGATGTTTCTAACTCTTTATCCCTCTCCCTTCCTCTCTGTAAAAAAATCAATAAAATATATTTAAAAAAAGAAAAAGAAAATCCAGAACATATACAGATGTTCTCAGTTTATAACAATAAGAGTTACAAAGTCCCCTTAATGGATGGTTTACAGATTCTATTACAGCTTTCATGTTGTACCAGAGGCTTTAGCACATACTGTGCTAATAATATCAGCAAACAACCAATTAAAAACAGATAATCAAAATTATTGCTGTTAACTAGAAACAATTTATGAAGTTTATACTTATTTTGATACTAATCATTTTTTAAATAAATTTTTATTGTTCATATTTTAAAAAAGAAAAAAGAGTTACATATTCTCTCAGTGACAACTTTAATTCTTTTCATTGAACTATATACTAAAAGCGGTGTGTGGGGGGGGGGGGGAGAGGGGATTGTACAGTGGCCTCTGAAAATGAAGAAATTTCATTTTTGCTCATGCTCTTACAGTGCATTTAGATTAAGATTCAACATCCTATTTGTCCAAATGGTTGTTATGTTTCTAATAATTCTTAACTAAGAATTAAGATTATTTTAAAGGATAAAATAACTTGGAATGGGGGTACAATTATTTGCTAGGCAAAACATTACCAACTGAGCCACCCAGCCAGGGCTTGTGTATATACGTGTTCTACTTTTTTTTTTTAAATATATTTTATTGATTTTGTACAGAGAGGAAGGGAGAGTTATAGAAACATCGATGAGAGAGTCATCGATCAGCTGCCTCTTGCACACCCCCCACTGGGGATATGCCCGCAACCAAGGTACATGCCCTTGACCGGAATCGAACCCAGGACCTTTCAGTCCCCAAGCCGACGTTCTATCCAAAAGCCAGGAGCCAAACTGGACCTGGCTTTTTTTTTTTTTTTTTTTTAATATATTTTATTGATTTTGTACAGAGAGGGAGAGAGATAGAGAGTTAGAAACATCGATGAGAGTACTTTTTTTTTTAAACTATTTCTTCTCCAAAATAGCTGTAAAATGATATGCTAATGTGACTCAAATAGGAATTTTTCATATTATGTACTGACTTTATTTCCTTTTATGTGAATTGTTTGCACTTTTTTCTAAACTAACAGCTTCTTTACCTTTGTAGCTGTCAAGTCCTAAATATACTTTTCATATTTGTCTCTAGGAATAAGAAAAATATAAAGACAGAATAGGTTAAAAAAAAAAAAAAAAAAAAGTAGGGAAATGACAGGACAAAAAAAAAAAATCTAGCTTTTCTACTTACTACCTTATAATTCTCAACCTGTAGGAAAGCCTATATCACATAAAGTTTATTGGCTACTTATGCCATTTCTCGTACCAAAATAGATTTGAGGGAAAATTTTGAAGGACACTACAAAAAAAAAAAGAAGATCTGGGAGTCACTAGACCTGATTTTATTTTATTATTTTTACTTTTTTTTTAATCAGAGAGGAAGAGAGAGAGACAGAAACATCAATGATGAGAGTATCATTGATCGCCTGCCTCCTATATGCCCCGCACTGGGGTTCGAGCCCGCAACTTGGGCATGTGCCCTTGACCAGAATCAAACCCAGGATCTTTCAGTCTGTAGGCCGATGCTCTACCCACTGAGCAAAACAGGCTAGGGCTAGACCTGTTTTTGAATTCTGACTCTAATTCTGATCTCTACACCTTGAGTACAGAAGACCCAACTCCTAATTTGAAAGAGGGTCTGTATGCACAAGAATCTCAGTGAAACCACCTGATTTTACTAGTACATAACACTAGCCTTGTAAAAATTCTGTAACAAAGAAATTCAGATTTTATTACAGAGTGCCTGTTTCCACAAAATAACTCCTAAAAACCGTACTACACTGTTTTGGTATTGCAAATATTACATAAGGACTAAAAGTCATAGAAAGATCTACATGACAACTTTTCTGGTAAGCAAAAGAAAACCAGAATAATATAATTCTGACATGCCAAAACAACCTCATATGTACGTGCAAAGTAGGTGGATTTCTACCTTCAGGGATTACTGAAGGTAGAATTTGAAAATGATCTATTTTGATCATTTTCAAAATAGAAGGGTGAGGCCGGAACCAGTTTGGCTCAGTGGATAGAGCGTCAGCCTGCGGACTGAAGGGTCCCAGGTTCGATTCTGGTCAAGGGCATGTACCTTGGTTGCGGGCATATCCCCAGTAGGGAGTGTGCAAGAGGCAGCTGATCGATGACTCTCTCTCACCAATGTTTCTAACTCTTTATCTCTCTCCCTTCCTCTCCGTAAAAAATCAATAAAATATATATATATTTTTAAAAAGTACACACATCATAAATGTACAACTGGGTTTTCATAAAGCAAATATATCCACATAACTGCCACCTAAGATTTTTAAAAAGCAAAAGAATATCAGGAACTCTCAAAAGCCTTCATCTCCTCTCAACCGTCTAGTTAGCTCTTCCCAAATTAAGCACTAGTTTGATTTCTATACCCAAAAATTAATTTTGCCAGTTTTAACTTTCTATAAAAATAGAATATTCGTTAATGTGTAGCTTCTTCCATTGGTTATTAAGAGAGATTCATCCACATTGCCACAGACAACAGTAGCTTGTTCTTTTGTGCTGCTGTAAAGCATCTCACTGTATAAATAGATCACAATATATTATTCTTCTATTCTGCTGATTTAGGTTGTTTCTTGTTTTTTGTTATTATGAATTGTGCTGCTATGAATATTTATAGATATGAAATTTGATGAGCATACATTTGCATTCTGTTGGTATTTACCTAGTAGTGAAATTGCTGTGTCATAGGTATATTCAACTTCAATAAGTAGTACCAAATATTTTTCCAGAGAAATAGTAGACTTTACCATTTTTTGGTGTGTTTTACTTAAACCTCCATAAACATTAATATGAGAACCTTCTCTGTGGACAAACATAAATGATGATATAGGACTGAAAATAAAGAAGAGACTTAGACAATGGCATCTAGCCTCCTGGTCTACAGTCCAAGAACACACAGTAAATAAGTGACTTGATACATTACAGTTTACAAAATACACTGATCCTTATAAGTAAACACAAGAGTTTAAGTCAAACATTGTCATCTCTATAATTCCTATAAGAAAAGGATACCTATAGGAAGATTCCCAAAGTCACATAGCTGAGTAGTGACCAAATCAGAAATAGAACATAGGTGTCAAACTCCTAATCCATGGTTTACTCACAAGTTAAACCTATCAGAAGCAGTCAGAAATTCTAGAAAAACTAAAGCAGGAAGAGAAATATCTTAGATCTAAATCTAATAAACTCTAAAAGGGCAATAAATATACTATGCATAGAACAATGTGGGGACAGTTAACATCTCTAAAAGGGAGAAGATGGAACTAAACTTATTAAATGTTCTAGCAGAAATAATATATACCTCTGAAAAAATATTAAGTCCAACTTATTCAATGTAAACACTTCACATTAGAAATTATTTTGAAAGGAAAAAATAACTTCAAGCACCATCTAATAAAATATACTTTCCAGTCCGCTCGGTGTGGCTAAGGAATAAACAGGGAGTGTCAACCCAGGAACCAAGAGAACACCAGTTCGATTCCCAGTCAGGACACATGCCCAGGTTTGTGGGCTCGATACCCAGTAGGGGACATGCAAGAGGCAGTTGATCTACGATATTTCTCTCTCTAACTGCTTTCATTGGACATTAAGAGGGATGCCTTCTCCCTTCCTTCTCTCTAAAAATCAATAAAAATGTATTTTAAAAAATTAAAATATACTGCTGAAACCGGTTTGGCTCAATGGATGGAACGTCGGCTTGGGGACTGAGGGGACCCGGGTTCGATTCCGGTCAAGGGCATGTACCTTGGTTGCGAGCATATCCCCAGTGGGGGTTGTGCAGGAGGCGGCTGATCGATGACTCTCTCTCATCGATGTTTCTGGCTATCTCTCTCCCTTCCTCTCTGTACAAAAATCAATAAAATATATTTTAAAAA